AAAATATTGACAGTCTAACTTTTTGTTTCGACTAATTGCATCGGGCCTGTGTACAGGATTCGTACGGTAGGGCTATACACAGCCGGGACACGTTTCCCATTAAAATCGCCATGACAGTGGTGGGGCTTTAATCGAGCGGCATCAAATATTTTAATGATCGCAATATTTAATGTCGCCAGAGAGAAAGAGATTTACCGCTCGTCGATGACGACGATAAATCGTGGTTTTACTGTGTCGTTCGTAGATCGAGTGCAATTGGAAGCCGAGAGAGAGAAACCTTACGTACTGCTTAAAAATAGTGAACGAAGGGACCCCCCCTCAAATAACGTCGATTTTCGCGAATCGATTGTAAATAACGATTCCCATGAGATTTACGAGGGAGCACCCGGGTGCTGGATATCGTCCGCGTGGATTAAACTATCGCCGTCTCTCTCTGGCTTGGTGGGACTCTCGCGGGCGAAGCAAAGAACTAAATAATAACGTAGGCTGCGCGTGGCTATAATGAGAAACCATGAAAATTGTCAACGTAAGGTCGTTAGGTAGGGTGGAAAAAAAATATTTATCGCACGAGCGATCGTCCGCAACGGGTTCTCGTAGTTCACGTGTAAACGTATGCACGTACGCTGGCATTGATTTGCCAATCCGACACTCAAGCGGTTTACCTAATGATTGTCGTGAACTAGGCCCCCGCATTGTTTGTACCTGAATTTAACTGTAACAAGACGTTTGTACTTCGTCCATTGACGTTTGTTCTCGAGTTATATTCATTTGTACCAAACAGAATAGGAAATAGAGCTTTTTTTTAATGCGGGGGCTGGCTTCACGCTGGCCCCTGCACAATTTTTTACCAATAGCCTAATTTAACATCACTGTAGGTAGTGAAACGTTTGTACCGTCGAAACATTTACTAGTTTTAAAGAAAAGGTAGCAGAGGATCAAGTTCAGCATTTGCGCGTCGCATTAACGTCGTGGGCTAGTCTCTTGGACGTTTGTACCGGAAGACGTTTGTACCTCTTGGAAGAAGGTACAGAATAGTCTGGTAAAAACGTCTAAGAGACTAGCCCGCACCTTTAAAGTGACCAGACCAACAGAATAGTCCGGTACAAACGTCCAAGAGACTAGCCCACGACGTTAATGCGACGCGCAAATGCTGAACTTGATCCTCTGCTACCTTTTCTTTGAAACTAGTAAATGTTTCGACGGTACAAACCTTATAAAGCCGGTACAAACGTTTCACTACCTATAGTGATGTTAAATTAGGCTATTGGTAAAAAATTGTGCGGGGGCCAGCGTGAAGCCAGCCCCCGCATTTAAAAAAAGCTCTATTTTCTATTTTGTTTGGTACAAATGAATATAACTCGAGAACAAACGTCAATGGAAGGAGCACAAACGTCTTGTTATAGTAAAACTCTGGTACAAACAATGCGGGGGCCTAGTTCACAATTACCTAATGGCAGGGTGTTTCGCAGTCGTTTGTACCGATGAAATTAGACACGTGAGCCTTCGGGAACTGGGTGCACGCATAGCCGCTGCACAGTCGGTAACGACGCTCAACTTCACGGGATAGTTAAACCTCGAGGGCCTTCCAATCGCGTCGGCGATATCGCCGTGAAAAGTAATTTTCAGCTGCCGCTCTTCGAGGAGTGCCGGCAGTCACGAAATGGAAGCTAGGGATTGATCGAACGTCCGTGAGAACGTTATTTACGTCAACTTGACCTTACGTTAGCCAAGTCCGGGAACGACGTAGGTTCTATAATGCATAGTGCAAAGTGGTACGAGAGAAATCAGATTTCTGTTTCTGTCACTAAACTGTCCCTTTTTTCCCTCCTATCTCAATTAGACTCCTGGGACTCATTTGCACAAGGGTTTAAACAGTCGATTTTCGACCAAGGCTAAAAAAAGAGATAAAAAAGTCTAAGTTAAAACGTCCACGGGTTGACCCTAGGTCATCCTTAAACCGTGCTTAAGGACCACATTCGATCCTAACCTAACCTAATAAACGTAGCTACACGAGGAAGAACGCCTTGCCTGTTTCCAACGCACCCCTTAAATCCTGCCAGGGGAGGGCTGGTAAAATCTTTAAAAAAAAGTCTCAGCGACGTCTCGCGCGCTTCCATGAGAATCCGCTGAGGTTTTTTTTTTTCATGCGAGAGTAAAGAAAACGAAAAATCTTTTTAAATTAAATCTCTTACGCGAGTCCCGCGCCCTGTGCGGGAACAATGCGCGACAGCCTGAGAGGATTTTTAAATGAAGTTCGTGTCTGTCAATTTTAAGTGTCGAAAACTCTTTGACAGTTCAGCGAAAAGTTACGTAAACGACGAACGCATGCTTCGTACGTAAAAAGGGAAAAGGCATTGTAAGCATAGAAAATCCGTGGAAAAAAAAAAATATATACAATTAATGCTAAGCACTTTCTGCGATCAATAACAAACCCGGCGTCGTCTTATTTGATTGCCGAAAACAGTCGCCTTCCATCGTTTCAAAGGGCAGATTTTATCAGAAGCCGATAAAAATATATTCGTTATATTCATATTATACGTCTACAGCATGCAGTAAAAACATGAGCAACGTGTGGGAGAGAATCTATAGCAACCCGTTGTACAATCAGCACTACGTATTTTAATATAATCCATACGACATTTTCTGGCATGAAGTACGTCAACGAAAAATACACGAGAAAAAAAAAGGAGTGAACAAAAATTGTTATCCAACGCATATGCGTGCATGTGTATCCATCAACGTAAGTGCATAGAGCATCAAAAATATAAAGTGCAAAACTCAAGCTCGCGTCGGTTCGACGATCGATAGGAAACAACTTGGCGTCCCCACCTTATTCTAACACCAAAAACACTCGCAACCCTCTGAGGTTCGGCTGGATAGAAGTAAAATAACTTCCTTAGTTTTTCCTGTTTCGCCAAGTGACGCTATCCAACCGTACTAAGGACATACGTGGAGAAGAAGTTGCCAGGTAAGCAGGTGCCGATACATCATCCCCGAGGGACGATGGCGACTACATACGGAGACAGCACAGAGGACCAGAAAACGGTGACACTCGGTGCTGTTGATAAGACGAGCAAAAGAAGACATGGGATAAGATCGAGTGACGAACGATGGATGAAAAATACGAGAATACATTTTTGACGCCGAGGCAGACAAAGCTTCGCTTCATTTTTCAACAACCCCCATGACTCCCATGCCGGATCGTTAAACGGCACCGAGCGAGGGTGACCTTTGCGTAAGAGTGACAACTGCAACGAGAATATTTTAAAGGGTGCCGAAAGGATGGAATTTCTTTACAATTTGCCTTTTGGGGATGATGTCTTTGTTAACGATTTGATTTTTCGGTTCGCAATTTCTGGATGATTTTTCGATTTTGCGAAGTACAAGGGCGACAGGGTATGCCGTGGTATTAAGGGTTGAGATTTAGTGAATTTTAAAGGCTTGAGATTTATCGTCGAGACGCCGTCGACTCTCCTTGAGGGATATTTAGCGCCTAGGAAGTGGGCACGCCGACGCCGGGCACGCAACGCGGAAAATAACTCCATGATCCTTTTAAGGCACTTTGGCTTCCCCAACTTTGAAAGTAGGCTAATATTCCTGCAGCTCAACAATATATCAAGCACACGGCTTGTAGGAAAAACGAAAAAAAAATTCCATTTATTTGCCATGCCATACTCGCAAAGTGATTGATTCTTCTTGTTCATGGATTTTTATATCTAGACCAGTGTAAACACGTTATGCCCACTCTTATAGCCAAAGAAAAATCTTTGACCGTAACGCAATTACAAAAAATCACAACACAAATTGTAATTCAGGTCTCTTAATATTTCACAGAGTACATAACTAGACTTAAAAATTTCACAGAAATGTGAATTCTATTGGGTATTTAACATTTTTGACTTTTTCATTATTATCTTCAATATAGAGAAATATAAAAGCAAGCTTGCTTGATATTGTGCGGCCGATTCAAGTTTCCCGCCACGTAACTCGTTCTATAATCAATCGTATAATCGCGAGTCACTAATCAGCGGTATTTATAAAATTGATTGGTAAAATGAACGAAGAATCGAGACGCAAGTGTCTAGTGTCCCGTCATAAAGGAATATTTCTCCGCGCGTTTACATTTTAGCGTGTAAAGTATATATATATATAGATGTAACAGCCAGAACAAGTTCTCTCAGAAAGACGAGTTAGACTATCCGAAGTGCAGCGATCCGAGGATCTCTGAACTTTGGTGATACGAGTAAATGTCCGTTAACGAGTCGCCTGTGAGGTTAAGTGTCCTACTACTGAGAATTGCCAAAGGACCTCTAACAACCTCTCATAGCGTACTCCTCCATGCAGAGATACAATTAAGGAGGATATTCCGTGGTTGATTTTGGATTTCGAGTGCGACTATTTGTACTGGTAAATGAGGTAGTCCGTATCAGAAAACTTCTCTCATTTCGTGTGGAACGGAATCGTCTAGTATCTACATATTCTTTTAATTATAAAGCGATCCAGTGATATACCTCGTGCACGCGAACTCTAAAATATAACAAAAACGCCAATAGTATCTCCATGAGGGATAGAAAGCATTACTATACACGTCAAAAGTGTTTCAAATGGAAGTGTATATCAGGATCATTGTACAACTCTAATGTTTGACAACAGTCACAGCTGTATATAGCGCATTAGATACTCGAAATATGACATATTATATCCAATAGCGCAAGAGTCATGTCTACGACAAAGGAAACTTAACTTTATACCCTGGGGTGATGTTCCTATTGTGATTTGTAATTCTCACGAGCATCTAATTATGTATTTCACGTTGACGGAATGACAAGCCCGGTATAATATTAGGTACAATAATTTCTCTAACAAAATAATATTGTTAGGCATCCACACAAAAACAGTCTTAATAACAAAATATTAAGGACACCACAGTACTATAGGATTAACATAAAACACATGGAACAGTTCACTCGTGTCAGTTGTTACAAAGCAAAGACACTGACCTCTTCAGCAAATTCGAAGTCACCGTCGAACTTCCGCTTGCATTTCACCTGGGTGATAGTGATGAGAAACGCCGCGGCGAAGAGCACACGCGAGATTCGCATTTTGGTAACGCGCAGGGCCACCCCTGTCACTGGCCGCGGGTATAACGCCGCGTACGACACGTATAACTTTGGCTAGAAGGAATTAACTAAGATCTTATGTTTCACGAAGAGAAAGCAACGTTTCCCCTATTGTAATATGCGCACGACGTGTGTACGTACGTTTGGTACTTCGGAGGAGCGCGATTATCCTCCTCAGAAGTCGAACAAATTGTGACTGCGCGTGGGGAGCCTGGTAGGGGAACGGCAACGTCAGAGAGTACAACCATAAGCACAGTCATTGGTTGGAATCTCGAATAAAATAGGTGGTGGGGGAATTGGTATGGTGGTGGGGAGCGAGAGGTGTAGTTCAGGGGTATACAGGTACCTATAGATATACCATCAATAGTGTATACGTATATACCTTTAGATATAGCTATACGCCCTTATATATCAACCCTCTGCCTCTACCAATCCCTATGGCACTTGGTCGTGAAGTTCGCGCGAGCGCGTGCTTCCACCGCGGACACTGCGCCAGTCAATACCTCCTTACTCGTCCTAACTCGTCTGTCTACCTGCCTACCTGTATACCTGTCGGTGCGCCATTATTTTTCACCTTACAGAGGATGATCGTCCTGGCGACTCCGGCGTGCACTATAAATCCCGATCGTCGACTCGAACCTCGGCCGTTCATCACGCGTGATATCTACCTCGACTGTGCTTTTCACAGAGCTTTTCTCTGATGGTCTTTAGTTTTTAAGCTTAGCTTGGTGCATTCTCCTTCCTTTCACCGGGGCTTGAAACAAAATGCTTGTGGGCATCAGACTACCACAGTTCGGACTCGTTTCGGTTCTTTGATGAATCCTTCGATGTTTTATACGTACTGGGCGATTTATTGTTTTCTTGAGGTACTAAAAGCACAGTCCGAATTTTCGTTATCCTTTTTTTTGGATGTCTGGAAAGTAGTGATATAAGGGCTTCTTGGTACTTTGATCCGGCACGCACGCTTTTGGCTGATGCTAAAAAGATCATTCTCCAGGATTAACGAGACGCGTGCTTATATGTATACTGGTTGGCGAATTATAGAGGTACACTATGCGTCACAGATTGTTCTGAAATCGTGGTAGGTATAGAGCAATTTCTTGGCCGACGTTTTTTTTTTCTTTGTGTCGAAGTCGTGGGATTTTGGTTCTTCGTGAACGAATCATCTTCATTCTTCTGTTTCGTGAGCATTTCGACCTCCATAAACCTCGTGTGAAAATATTCAATGAGGATAAGGATGTTCCCCTCGCGAATGAAAGGTTATTTTTCTTCGCTTCCTCGAAGCGAATAACGAATTTATGAAATTACAGCTACGCTATTGAGCTTTGAGTATTGATGTGTATAGATAAACCAGAAATATTCTCCAATTTCACTAATGTATACGCGACCAATGAGAAATTAGCATACATGAGAAGCGTCGAAAAATTCTAATGAACACTACGAACTTCGAACTGGAACACATTGCGCAAATTCCTAAATTATTGGTCCATTACTAGGTTCACCAAATTCTCTTGCAGCATCTAATAAACTGAGGTCAAATTCCACCTGATGAAAGAAAACACTAAGAATCATAAAATCCAAGCATGTAGATACTGATAACCCACTGTATCCTTTTTTAATTCTTACTATTAAGATATGCTGTCAGGTGCGATAGGGCATTTTCCATATCGTGGAAAATTCGTATTCTGACATAAGTATCCATATTGTTTTACTGTCATGGCGTTCAGAATAGAATAGAATCCAATAGTGTCATGCATCGTTTACGATAGAACGAAAGATCTCATAGGATACATTCACCCTCCATAACTCCATAGTCAAAGCACCTTCTTGGAGGGTCTTTTCGAATAGCATCCTTGACTCCCTCAGGAATTAACCCATCGTGGGTTTCAGCAGGAATCCCATCTTCGTATATCACAATCGAGGCGTGTTACGTGGAGAGTTTCGACTCGGTTTGGACGTCAGGAGTAATGAGAGGATCTGAGTGCGGTGGAAAACAATATATTATAAATAAGAACGTTAACAGGAAAAACTGCCGGAGTTAAATTGATTTATTTATTGCAGTTGTTTGATAATGAAAATAATATTTTTTTATATTTAAATAACGAACTTGGTCCTTTATTCAAGTATCCTCCTTTATCTTTATTATAGTTACATCACAACCTTTTCCTAGTGAAATTCTTTTTCTTGTAATAAAGAACAAAGATTGGCTACTAAAGTATACACCGGTGCGTACCATTCAGTTCAAGATTCTTGTAAAGGGTCTAGGTAATGTTAATTGGACCTACTGGATTTTTATCTGAAGCAAGGAAGATAGATTTATATCATCAGTACATAAGTAGAGAGGAATAAGATTTGTTACGTGCCGACGAATAAGCAGGCATCCGTGCAATTTGAGGAAAGTTCGTGTTCGCCGTGTCGAGCGCACTGGTATCTTCACTTCAGATGGACGTAGTGCCACTTATCGACTGAAATCACATAACGCAAATAATGAAGTAGACGAACTCTAGCTATATCAATAATTAATGTTTCTTTGAGCTAATACTGTCACGTAATGAGGCAGCCATCGATCCTTTAATATGCATGCAGACAGAATCTCGTAACATCATTTGAAACTTTACAATTTATGATTTAATTTCGTTACTGGTACAAAGAAAGATTTTTCAACTGAAACAAAATAACGATTTCATTAAAAAGCAGACATTTCTACTTTTCGTTTAATGAGATATTCTAAAGTCAAAATCATCTTAATTATGTGTAAAGTACATTCTATATCATTTCTCTCAAATTTCAGATGATGCCTTTTACGTTATGCTGCCATAAATTATTCCTGTAATTACTCACCAATGCTCTCTACTGGCAGAGCTTCCTGAAGTTTCGGCGCTTGTTTCAAAACTTCATCAGCTGCGGCCACAGTGATTTTATGCGGACTGTCCTCTACGGTCACGTTCGCACTACAAAAGCGATATGTAAATTTAATACAGAAGTAGGATACTTAGGCTGGGAAACTATGCTTTTAGTTAACCGAGCATTGCTAAAAGACGTTGTAATGATATACGAACCGAACAATCGAGGCGGGTTCATCCGACTTAATGAGGTTCTCCCAATGATGATGCACTTCTTTGATCACACGTAGCGCGTACTCCTTGTCTTTAGCTTCGCCATCAAAAGCGAATTGATTTTCAGGCTTTCCATCAGGAATCTTGTATATTTTGAACCACTCGATAGTTGCTTTTAAAAGACCGGGATAATGCTTGTCTATGTCACTGACATCTACAAATTTTATATATTTATATATTGACATCAGTGTTCTTGGCATAATTCATTGATTTCTGTTATCTCTATATCATGTATGCTATTAGAATATATTTAAAGTGCTCAGGTAACCAATATGAAAATTTATGCAATATAATAATTAAACGTGAAATGTACATACCGTTCATTTGATCTGCTAAAGGATCATTTACATCAATGGCGATAATTTTCCAATCAGTCTCCCCTAGACAGAATTATTTTTTTACTTAATAAAAATTCTTGTTGTGTTATGGTCTTTGTACTCCTGATTTGATCGTTCTTTAAAACGTATAATAGGAACAAATAAGAGAGTTACCTTCGTCGATAAGAGCGACAGTACCCAAGACTTTCACTTTCAATACTTCTCCCCTTTTTGCTACCTGCATTTACAACAATAAAGTTATACCATTACTTAGTGATATGGAAGTGACATGGCATTGATATGTACGAATGTAATAAGATATAGTATATAAAACACGCAAGAATTACAGAAAAAGTTTCAATGCTATTGCGACGCATGAGTTTCGCTGTTTTTATAAAATTTAGTAAATGCATCGAATTACAACAGAAACATATCACAACTTACTCTGTAACCAATTTCAAGGACATCGATAGGATCGTTATCTCCTTTGCAACCTGTTTCTGCATCCAAAACTTCTGGATTTTCCCATGTCTATCAAAGAATAGGTGAATATAAATGATCAAATTTACACTTATTGATTATAAAAAAAAGAAACAATTATGTAGGTGTTTAATAATGCTATGAAAAAATATAACTGTATCTTCGGAACTTGAAAAGCAAATAAAATACATTGATAATCTTTATCAATCATTGCCCTTGAAATACATACACACATATATCACAGAAATAATTATATCATTCGTGAAGTATGATAAGAAATGATGTAATCAGATCGTAGAATAAAAGCAAAGGTCAAATTCAGTAGTTGCAAGTTTCATTAAATAAGGTCAATGAAAAAATCTCTTAAGTAGGCAATATTGAAGGACGGTGCTGTTATACTGAAACAATTTAGATACAAATTTTGCATACTTGTGGCAAAGCTCCATAATTCCATATATATCCATGATGTGGGAAACAGTTGGCAACAAATCGAAGCTTGCCTTTCTTTACATCTTGCTTAATGGGATTGAGCTTTTCCGTGAGATTAATCTCCATTTTTGCATTTGTCCATCGTGGTACTTCTACCACCATGTGAAATATTTTGTTTGCTTCATCGGCATACAAAGGAATGTCGTGCATAGGTGAAATGGAACTAACATCATTCTCTGTAATATGTAATAAGAACTATGTTGTATTTATCTCATGAACTTTAAAATTTTTTAATACCACAAAGAAACATTTATACATGTTAGAATAGAGAGAGGATTTTAGAAACTCCCACCATTTTCATATTTAAATACTTTTACTTCAGCTAAATGTCAAAGTATGATATTACATTCCTTGCCACTACAACTTTTATACAAACTAAAAGCATTACTGGCTAAAGAAATGGAAATGTTTTTTTCACATTTCTTGATTCTGTCTGTGACCCAAACCATGATAATAAACCTTGTTGATGCTACTAATTTGACTTAACGGTAACAACTATTAGAACATAGATAAAAAGTCCAACTAATAAGCCTTCGAATATAATTTTAAAATGAAAACTTTTGTTCATAAATTTATACCCAAATTCTATAACACAAAAACGTTAAAAACAAAAATTAGATGCAAAGATAATAAAATAAATGATGATAAATAATTAAAATACTAATTTATTCTTTTATTGTTAAAAAAAATGTATAAAGATTGCATTTGAAGTGTTTAAAAATCATAACATAAAATTAATAAATTATTAAATTCTGTTAAGACCTACTATCCCTGTATATACGATCTATCTATAAATCTGCTTGATATACCAAGAGAGTTATTAATTTTCATGAAATAACATATTATTTATAAAGAAACAGTAATATTAATTATATTTATATGGTCGGCCTCCTAAATTATCTATCAACATCCAATGTGTGGTACATTAAATTATATTCTATCACTATCCGAATATACGAATAATCAGTCGTTCGGCATCTACTAAGTTACGCGTGTTCCGTCAAGGCAGCTGTTATGCTTATTTAGTGTTTAATCTTTGGAGTTCAAAGGACAATCAGATGATGCTTTATACGAGCCGATACGAAAGGTTATGTACCGTCTATAACTTACTGTAGAATATCCTGTAGTCCGTTGAATTTGGAGCACCTCGTTCAACAGTAGTAAAAGACATGATTTTTTGATCAAATCCAAAGTAGGAACACCGAGGTGACCGGACGATATTTCCTCTACTGGCTAAACTCCACCGAATTGGCAGTCTATTTAAACGGCAAGAACGTAACACGTGCAACATAGTAAAGGTCATCGCGACATCTAGAATCATTATGACAAAACGTAAAACTAATATACTGGAAATCATTGATATATGCTCGATCGGACATATCTACTGAGGTGGATTTCTTTACCGACGGAGCAGACGGCATTCTTAAAGTAGCTAATTACAGAGTGAAGATTTAAAAAATCTCCAGTAGAAAAGTAAAACATAGAAACCCGAAACTTACTTATGGTAAATCCTGACAAGAACGGTATGAGAATTAGTGAGATTATTGGTAGGTATCATTAGTCAATTACGCTTTGAAAGGTTACCTTTTTATTGGGACTAAACCATGGTAGATAAGTATACTTATTTTAGAAAAGGTTCAAACCATAAACTAATATAGATGTCAATAAAATGAACACTTTAATCCTACCGGAATATTTACATTAAGAACTTCCAACACAATATCCAACGCTGATTTTACAGTAGATAAATAGTAGGAATAAGGGTAAGGCACTGATTATCATCAGTAAAATAAAAAATATGTTTCTATGCAATGCTAAGAATTTCGAAAAACCGTCCATAGCTTTAAGTTTTAACCAGGTAGCCAATCCTGTCGCGCGAACCTTCTAAATCAATTCCTAATACAAATACTATCTCTAAACTTAGTAAAATCAGAAAGGTCATAGTTACTCGCCTATAGTTGTCTTGTAGTTTACGTTTCTACAATTAAATTACAAGTTTATACACTTCTCAAAGATGACAAATACGTTTCTCAATTACAAAGCAGCCACTCTATTCCTACTGTCCATTTTTCCGTGGATTCAAAAGAGTAAGTAATTTTCAACTGTAAACATATTCCCGTATACTTATTAATAGCAGTCTGCACCGTTTGGCTTCAGCTCTGTGTATAATTTGCTTCTGTGAAAAACACTGCTCGGAAAATCAATCAAGTGGATCCTGTGAAGTAAAATCAGGTGGACATTGCTTCGTGGCCGTGAAAAATATTTGGGAACCGGAAAAGGGCGAGTATATTCAACAATGGACATCCGGCTGCTTGTCATCAAAGAAAATAGGTAGTGAAAAATGCGAGAGTTACTTAATGCCTCGTCTACAGGGACACCTGATAAAATGCTGTAACGAAACATCATTTTGTAACAGTCACGAAATTCGAATCCGCCCGACCCTTGCCACGAGGATGACAATTTCATCTCAAGCCCTTCTCATCTTATCCGTGGCATCCCTATCTGTATCATTATTCTTATTTTCCCTATCCATTGTGATTATCTATCATCGTTATAGCACGGATGATACTAAAGCTTATCCCACTCCTAAAGCAACTCAATCAAATTTACGAGATTTAATCGATCAAAGTAGCGGATCTGGATCAGGTCTACAACTCCTGGTAGAAAGGACTATTGCCAAGCAGCTAACCTTATTCGAATGCATTGGCAAAGGAAGATACGGAGAAGTTTGGATGGCTAAATGGAGAGCAGATAAAGTAGCAGTGAAAATTTTCCTCACTTCCGAGGAATCAGCCTGGTTTAAAGAAATCGAAATTTATAATACTGTTCTTATGATACATGAGAATATTTTAGGATGTATCGCTGCGGACATACAAGGTACTGGAACGTGGACTCAAATGTTACTCATTACGGATTACCACGAGAATGGTTCTCTCTTTGAGTATCTTCAAGCTAAAATTTTGGACAAGACTGCGCTATTGAAAATCTGTCTCTCGATGGCTGCCGGAATTGCGTATTTGCACACGGAGATTTTTGGCACACCAGGAAAACCTGCTCTGGCACATCGTGATATTAAGAGTAAAAATATTCTTATCAAGAGAAACGGCGAATGTGCCATTGCTGACTTTGGTCTTGCCGTTCGATTCTCTAGGTACGTAAAAAATGTATTGTGTTACTTGAATGATTGTTTTTAGATTCAAAGGCTTCTTTTGTTCAGCTGCAATAAAATTTCATTTTATAGCAAAAGTGGAACGATCGATGCTGTATCGGATATAAGGGTAGGAACTCGACGGTACATGGCTCCAGAGGTTCTGGATCAGACTTTGGATGTGACTTCCTTTAATGCTTTTAAAATGGCTGACGTATATTCTATGGGACTTGTACTCTGGGAAGCTTGTAGAAGATGTACAACGGATTTTAGGACTTCCGTTGTGGACTTTTACTCTCTACCTTATCAAGATGTAGTACCCAGTAATCCCAGCTTCGAGGATATGAAATTGGTTGTTTGTGTCAAAAGATTACGGCCACCCATGCCAACCAGATGGGAATCAGATACGGTAATTTAATATTATGGGTAGCTACTAGGAGTTATTATTTTTCCCTATTGTAAAGCTTCTTTTTTTAGGTCTTGTACTCCTTACGACAAACAATTCTTGAGTGTTGGCATCAAGTTCCTGGAGTGCGTTTAACAGCCCTACGGGTAAAAAAGACACTATCGAAACTCTACATAAATAATTTAAACAATACAATTGACGATAAAAATATTATCGTATAGAATTTTTTTAGAAAATTTATAAATTTCTATATTTTTTTTTTTATGTATCGAGTTAAAATATTTTATTATATTTTATTTCACAATTCATTTATAGTATTTATATTTTTCAATTTCAAATTAGCAGCCCTCATTTTCAATATTATTCCTATTATACTCTCTTACTTGGGATATACGTTATAATACCCCCATTATTAAGTCGCACTTGTCAATTTAGAAATCTGTTTGATATTAGGGTTGAAGCACTGTCATTTAGCACTGTTAATCTATACAGGTACAATCCCTTAAAGGCATAATTCAATGGAGTGGCTATTCTGGCGATTAGGTTAACAGTGAAATTGGGCTGTTCAATAGGACGAAAGGTTGTAAACCTGAATAATGGAATCCCAAATATCAAACGACACCCTGCTGACAGTGAAACCGATACCCACCTTGACACTGTTAACCTCAGAATCTACTTTTTCCAAGGGCATCGTACAGGTAGTCATGGAGGTTATAATAAGGGAGGGTTAATTAGGATGGGGGGGCGGGGGAGGTTAAAGGTGGACAATAAATTTTAGAAATTTGCCCTGCCACTCTTACAAAGGTAATACAGTTAATTGAAAGAAGTGGGGATGGTTCACCTACAATATTTATATTTAATAACCAAGAACGTTAGACAGTTTTAAGCAAGTTTTGGAGAAACGGAACTTTGTTCCAATCAGTACACAGAAATTGGTGGCAATCGACGTATCGTGAAAATGGAAGAGAACTTTGTGAGAAAGTTTGACAAAGTGTCGTCCCTGAAGTGTTTGTTCTCGTTTACGAATCCAGCAGTAAGGAAGCTGCTGGGTTGGCGTCAGAACGACGAGGAGGAAAAGTGGGCTGAGAGAGCTGTCGATTCTCTTGTAAGGAAGTTAAAAAATCGTAAAGACGCCTTGGAGGAATTAGAACGTGCCCTGAGTTTACCAGGAACGCCAAGTCGTTGCGTAACCATACCAAGAAGCTTGGATGGTCGTCTTCAAATTTCTCACCGAAAGGGACATCCACATGTGATATACTGTCGAATATGGAGGTGGCCAGATTTACAATCGCATCATCAATTGAAACCATTGGACATTTGCAAGCATCCGTTTTCAGCAAAGGACAAGGAAATCTGTGTAAATCCGTATCATTACAAAAGAGCTGAGGATCCTGCTTTGCCCACGATTTTGATACCAAAACAGTCTCCTGAATTAATGACTGATTCAGCCACGCATGTACGTGACATATATCCAGTCAATGATGTGCCACAGAACGTCACTTACTCAGAAAACGGTTTTATTAAATCCGTCACGCCGCGAGGAACGTCCAATTCTCGAAATTTCGGCGTCACTTGTCACAATGGTTCGTGGGAAATGCCACCTTCGCCATATTCAATGTCGACCAATGAATCGCCTTCTCCAGAACACAATTATACACAGGAAGTGATCCCTATCGTGTACAAGGAACCTGAGTGCTGGGCTACTATAGCGTATTATGAGTTAAATAATCGTGTTGGTGAAACTTTTCGGTGCACCTTACCTTATGTTACAGTGGATGGATACACTGATCCCAAACGGAATGGAGATCGGTTTTGCTTAGGTTTTCTTTCTAATGTTAAACGTAATTCTACTATTGAGCATACTAGAAGACATATTGGACAGGGTGTTCGCTTGTATTATGTGGGCGGCGAACTTTATGCCGAATGTTTATCCGAGTCGGCAGTTTTCTTTCAATCGACTAATTGCAATGCACTGCACTTGTTCAGTCCGAATACGGTTTGTAAAATTCCATCGGGTTGTTCACTCAAGATATTTGATAATCAAGAATTCGCGAGGATACTTTCCGAAAGGGTTGTATATGGATTTGAAGCTGTTTACGATTTGACGAAAATGTGTACAATTAGGTAAATTTTCGAGTATTTAAAGATTTTTTTCACAAATTTTAGAAATCTTATAACGTAAGAAGTTTTTTATGACCAGGATCTTAATAATACCCCTTTTCTTTACAGAATGTCCTTCGTTAAAGGATGGGGTGCTAATTATCAGAGACAAGAAATCACTTCGACTCCATGTTGGATCGAAATTCATTTGCATGGACCACTTCAGTGGCTTGATAAGGTTTTGACACAGATGGGATCTCCGCATTATACAAGTAGCTCTGTATCTTAAAAAGTTTCATAATACTTTTTACTGAATTGTTGCATAGATAACGATTGTATATAAAATATAAGATATAACAGACACGAATGTTAGAGTAATAATCCGTACTAATTGTTAAGTCGTGTCTATAAAATAAAAAAATTGTAAATAAATTTTTATTGTACAGTTACAATACCACGTGAGATTAATAAACTTTGTATAAAAATTTATAACAAACTTTTAAAGCGTAGTGTGTATAAAAATAATACAGTTTCTAACTCGCAACAGCAACATTCCTTTCTTCATCATGCCAATTTTTGAACTAAATCCCTAACTAATTCAGAATAATGAAAATAATATTGCCTTAGAATTATGCTCGACATAAAGCAACAATATGTATTGCGAATCAGTACATTCTCCAGGAATTCATATTCTTCTCTACACTAAATTCTGTTGAATGAAGTCTAGAAAGGCGGAGACCTTGGTGTAAACACCAGGAAAGCCAGGTTCGGCGCATCGAAAACCATACGAAACGACGCCAATTAGGTAATAAGTTCTTCCACGTGGATGCATCAAAGGACCACCGCTGTCACCCTGAAAAACATAAAACAGGAGTTTACTAAAAATTCAATATCTTTATCAATTTATTAGAAATACGAAACATCCTTGAATTGCAAATATATGCACGCCTCTTTACTTATATAAAAACACGAGCGTACCTGGCAAGCGTCTTTACCTCCTCGGGCAAAACCAGCACATAACACGCGATCGTTTATCACAGCAGTTGGGAACGCCTCAAAGGCTCGTTTACATTCAGATTGCTCAACAACCGGAATTTGAAGTTCCAAAAGTCGACTGCTCGATGGACCATCTGTAGCATTTACCCAGAGAGAAAAGAGAATAAGACATAAAACCTTCAGTAAATAGAATTAACTTATAAGGTTAGAATAATTGTTGATCAAGTATTAAATACTCACGAAAATAAACTGATCCCCATCCAGCAATAAATGGAAAGAGACGTGTATAATCTCTATTACGTACTTCATCAGGTAATGGAAGACATATTGGATGAATAAGTTCTGTAAATAATAAATGTAGCGTATAATAAATGATGATAATTAAAAACACATTAACCACATCGATTAATCTTACCAGTGAATGGAACTTCTTGTTGTAGTCTCAGTACAGCAATATCGTTAGTATAACTAGCAGCATTATACTCTGGATGAATTATTTTCCTCTCGATAAGTACATCAATAGGCGTTGCACCGTCAGAATCACTATTTAAATCCAAATCGCCAAGCCGGACTATATACAGGTCCCTTTGATTGTGCACGCAGTGGCCGGCAGTAACAATATGGCGAGAAGACACAAGAGTGCCACCACAAAGCCATCTCGGAGAATTCGGATTTTTGGTCGACCTGTAGCCAAGAGCAGCTATCCAAGGCCAAGCGCCTATGAATAAATAATATTCCATTATTGATCTTCCACCTGCGAATATGAAATAGGAACTTTGTATTTCCTGGTTATCAGACTTACCAAGCTGAGCAGGATTACCGCCTACCACTTTAAAATGCGTTATATTAGATCTTGATTGACCACACTGATCCGCATATAAAGGACCGTACGCATTGTTTGTGGGTTCGATTCTCGGTCCATCCGTGACTACTGGCGAAGTTTCAGAACCGGAAGTACAGCATACTCTTGGTTCGAATCCTTCGTAACCGCATACCAAACTTCGTAGATAGTCCCCGGCTGCGTTTCTTTGTGTTTGCAGCAATTGCAACAATGGCGAACATTGTCTTATATTGATGCACTGACCAATTTCACCAGAAGGCGTTCTGCAGGTTACTGAATTAAAATCTGTAATCAAATCATGTACGATTCTTCTAAATGTACACTTATACGGAATACCTATGCAACAGCCTCCTGCCAAGTATGCGTCAAGATGCCCTCCCCTCGATCGGCTGCCGGCGACATTCTCCCACCTACAGCTCCACGCTCCGCCAGCTTACCCCTCAGTTACAGTCTACCGCTCAAAATCGGACAATACAGTCAGCTCACCGTGCGGAGTGGTGGAAACTCGCTAAATACGCGTTACTTCCCCTACAGCCCCGTGAATGTGCACATAGCGAGAGGCTACTGTAGTAAAGTAATGGTCAATGACGAAAAAGATCATCTATTATATCCTGTATCGGTGAGTTATTAGTTGCGAGTCATAATAATGCGCGACTGTCAAGATGGCGTAAATTAAAGGCGTATTTACTGTTGAGCTTCGTGCAGCAGTAATGTACATACACTGTTTCGCGTAATAACGTATGCAAACTTTTGAGACTGAGTCTATACGAGTCACTAATGGAAAATAATTTCTTGGATGACGTCAATAATAATTTCGTAGTATTATCTTTAATGTCTTTGGCTAATTTATAATAAACCTCATCGGGAATGCCGGATGTACTTCAGTGACTTGTGACATGGCTGACTACGTTTGACATACAGACACGAATGAATGCATAGTGAATTCAAAATGTAGTTGGATGAATTCGCGGACTTTTTACTGACGAAAAATGTATGAGTATACATAAAATATATACTTTGTTTTTATTCAATTATATAACACGATCTACGACTCAAAATATATATTTTATTTATTCCTTTGAATCGCCCTGCGAATTTTCATCTAGAATGTTCGTTGAAATTATGCTAGTTCGAGAACCGATGATTAGAAACATAACCATTAATACTTGTACGTCTGCTTACGTTACTGACAGTCATTAATAACTATTTACATGCAACGATTAATGATAATAAGGTAAATATTTAATATATATGGAAAATGTCCAGTTTGCTGCATGACACGCGAAGAATGATATTTTCCCTGGACTTATCGTACACATGCATACTTGATACGTTGGTTAGATGCGCGTCAGCCCTAACATTTTTCATAATCATACAAGTGCCAGTTGCACCTGGTCTTTTTAAAAAATGGTTAGAAATTGCCAGTACGTTGCATAACCTCACAGAAATATTTCCCTCGATATATTTGATTACGTATACATAAGCTTTGAAATAAAATGCCAACAGTTATCCTTTGTCAATAAAATTTGTCTATTGGTAATAAACAAGTCATAGACAAAGTGCCTCATAAAGTGTTTGTAGTAAACGTGAGAAATAAAACAGAGCAATTCGCATCTGCGAATGATTTATGTATCGGGAGACTAACGTGATGTATCGTTTCGTTTGATGAATGCACAGATTGTATGCAGCGTAATGCGTTATACCAGCCATCATATAAGACGCGAATAATGCATAGGAAATAGATCGTTCAGATTTACGGGAAGCTGTAAAAAAAGAAGGATAGAGGCCATAAAGTAAGTTATCGGAAGTAATAATATATTATGGATTCTGTACGTTATAATTGAATATGAGAATTTATCGTGACTGATTTATTCATCTCTCGTGAATCTACGTATCAAGTACATGGGATTATTCAATTCATTTTTTATATACTGTCACATCAAATTATCATTACCTATAAACTTGAGATTTCCCTAGAATGAATGTGAATATTTAGAGTCCATGTAGGTCGCAGTCAAATGACAAAAAAAAATTGTCTTTCGCTCTCCTTAAAATCTGATGTCCAATTGCACGTTTACATCACGTCTCATTCAGTTAACGCTTTGATACCTTGACCTTATTTGCACGGCAACCGTATACGTAGGTTGTTCATTCAGTTCTCCGAACTGCTAACGAGCGTTAAAAACTCGAAAGGCAAATCAAGGTTTGCTGTACATGCGCGACAGGGGCATAATAAAAATCCGTTAATATTTATTTTACTAGAAAGTCTACGAGTAACTAATTTATTTAAATTAGTTACACGCGAAGACTTTTATCAGAGATCAGACTAGTCATCGGGAGTCCCCGACGAAGAAAAGGTCAATGACGTTATTTCAAGTTCACCAAGTGCTTTTGTCAGCTTGAACGTATTTCTATTTTTTGTTTGCTTTTAATCTAAGTGACTATCTTAAAAGTAACTCACCTTGTGAACTGACAATCAGCAGTAAGAGTTGCAGTGGAACAAGTACACTGAGAATCCACATCATTTTTCTTCTTTCTGGAGTGAAGAATAGTATAAGTATTTTTTAATGGCCATTGTAATGATCATGTTTTGATAATATCTGCTGTATATATTTCATGGTATCTCTTTTGTGACGGATGATTATCATATTCCTAATTTTTTTTCCAAGACTCCGGATGCTTATTAAAATTGAATCAAACATCCAGGTACAGTACAGTAATCAATTTGAGATTTCAGCTTTGTAGTGAGATTATGTATATATGAGTGTAGCGATTTACAGAGATACAAATTGTTTACAGGATGTCAAGTTCACTTTACATTATTCATAGTCCATCATAGATCATCTGCAAGGGCATATCGATTAAACATTGTGCAGTGCATCAATTGTATCAAATAATTGTACTCGAGATATTATTTGACTACAGACAAAATGAAGTAATGGATTCACACACCAATTTGAATTTGAAAGCTTGTCGATCCGTTTGACTTAAAAAACAATATGACGTTACTAGATGCATCACTGGTAACATCAGAATACTAAAATTATCAAACGACCCTGAAAATAGATATAAAAAACTGTACCAAAATAGCTTACTTCCGAAAAATTACAATAGTCTCTGTCCCCTTGACATTCTCGACCTTCGTCAGTCTGCTCGTTGCACGCATTAAAAATTGTACGGTAATCGAACAAAAAAAGCTTTATAAAAGTGATAAGCTTTGTGAAGTATCGTAATGCAGAAATGAAAAGAATTTATTTAGTTTTAATTATTTCCATATCGGTGAAAGCATTAATTATTTGTATTCTTCAAGAAAATGATTCATATACCAGGTAGACTTTCACTTTGCATTTCATGACGCTCATTTCAAAATTCCTAAGTTTCAAGGAATTTTGAAATTATTTCATAAATCACATCCTTGTCTTAACGTCATCGAGAGGACGGTCAGACGGCGCAACTTGAAAACCTGCGGTATTACTTAACGATCAAGGCTTCAGCAAGGTCTCAGGTATTATGTATATATGAACGTATACGTAGCTGCATATGTGTAAAAGTGATAGTAAAGTTGTACTGGACAAACGCAACAGTAGAGGCTGCGTCAATGATCATTATCACGTTATTGATTAACAGAATTCATCGTTGATTTCCCTTCGACACGAATTAGCTTCAGTTAAAAAGTTCATTGACGAGAAATGAAAGATTGAGTAAAACTTAAAAAAAAATCATAAGTACATTTCACATGATGTCAGAGAAACCACTTGCGGACTAGATGACCGATCGCTTATTATCGTTTAATAATTCTGTTGACGATCTCAAGAAATTATCTTTTTCACTTATTGGATTCAAAATTCTCCGTGACAAAGGTCGATTGTATGTTACACGGTTCGTTGCAACGTTAAATATATTTCGCAAGATGGCGTGTTGGGTAAATTTAAAAAAAAAAATTTTCGACCACGTTTCTAACTGTTAATAAAAACAGAATAAACACACGATTATAAGGAAGAATCATGAATCGATATTGTTAACATGGAGCGAGAGTAATTTACATGATAAAGTCTATAAATCCGTTATATCTTGATCAATGGGAAACCGCAAATTGTTATTACACGATTATCTCACTACAATGCATCAAGATGAATCGATAAATTTTGTAGATAAAAATTATACTGTTACATCGAGGTATGTATATTTTATATGGGATTTGTTAATTGAAGAAGAATAAATTTATCACAATTTACCGTATAAAAATGACACGCCACTGTGTTCCGATGTTATAATACCACACAATTTATGATTATATTCGAATCACTGTATTATCATTGAACGAGAATATATCGTATGATATCTGATCTACGTCCGGCGTATAGCAAAATCATCGACGCAAGATCAATTCGATGACGAAGCTAGGAGGAGACTGGTGTACTTCCCGTGATCATTCTCTTTATATCGTACAGAGTCAGTGGCCAAGGCTCAAATGTCGTGGATATATCTGTACAATGGAACATGGTCGAGTGGAAAGAAAAAAATGTTTTAAATATGTCTATGCTTCACATTGTTCGAACGAGAGGACAATGACCAGATATTTAATGTCAAATTTTTAGTCGGTATGATTCCAAGCGTTACCGGGATAAACCACCTTTTTCTGGTTCAATGTTAACGATTGGAGTTTAACAATGATCATGCTTTTTTTATTGTTGATTTTTTTGTATGTTTTTTATATATAATATCGTACTAATTAATTTTTATTGGGATCATTTGACACCTGATGAACTCTTTATCGACGAATAATATATTTTGTTTACGATTATCTATCTTTTTGTATATAATTTCGCAAAATTCATCCGGAAGTAGGTTCCGCTATTGTTAACATGGGAAATTGTCCGCTGTGAGTCATGGGGTAATCTGTATTGGACAATTAAAAGGCACGTATCCTTGAATTAGACTGGGTGAATTTAATTGTTCACCGGTTCTTTTATGCACAAACAGTACCATTTGTTGGTTAGCATCTGACAGGCTCATCGCTTCTAGACTTCCACTTGGAGAGAAAAATATTAAAATAATTAGATTAGCATGTTCTTTGTTTTCAGATACGTATTGTTATACTATACTTATGTTACTGTAAAGCCCGTTGCTCGTGAGAGAATATAAATTGAAAACTTAGGACAACGTAGTGATAAAGAAACTCATCTCGACGGTAGATAATTTTGTAATAATAATATTGAAAATGAGCAACGCTTCTAATTTTCATTTCCTTTATTCTTTTATAATCAACATTGAGTCAAACGGTTATAAAAGAGTTCACGTTGCAAATCCACAAAAGCTGTGGGTATAGCATTCGATAGACCAATAATGTACAATTTAAATCATTTTCAAATCATTATATACATAAAACGCAAGGGACGTACATGATGATTTCTTATATGCACATAGGGAATATATTGGTTTATATCATAAGCACTTATAATGCGCGCTTAATGACTATATGCATGATTTCTTTTAATATTGTTCATGTCGTTCAATAAAAATGTGCAACAACGTATCGTTTTCTTTTGGACATGATTTAAGGAATTTAACGATACGCCAGCATAATAATGATTTTATACGATTTTAATCATTCGCCATTAGTGTAAGTGCACAATAATGAAAATAAAAAGCCGGCCAAAAATATATATATATATATAATTGTGCCCCCAATGGACAGAGTAACGTACAGAGGTGAAATATTAATTTGATAGGTAACTTCATTAAGACTTTCGATATTACGACATTACGGGCAAATATGTATGTAACGTCTAGATATTCACCTCTAATGGTTATACGTTACAATGCGTGATTATTAGTTAATGAACTTTATATATGTCTTTATGACTAAATAAACCACACAATTAACGCTCTCTGATAATTCGTATTGCCAACTGATAATTACCAGTCATGCAATGGCGTTTTAGAAAATTCATCATCCTAGGGCCGTTCGCTGAGACGATTAAGTTGTCTCGAATTCGTGTATAATTTCTACTGTGTTATTAATAATTGAAAAGTTATGTATGCTAATTGTATGTATCGACTTGACGTTTCGGTTTAGGTTCACAATAGAATTTTATCGCGCTGTAATTGTAATGTGATAACTCGACGGCGAGCACAATATTACACGTTGTTTCCGTTATGTTACAAGTTACAAATCACAATTACGCAGCCGATGAATGTGACTTCAGATCTTACTGTCTCTTTAGCATTTAACATATTGCATAGCACCATTTGTTAAATATAAAATAGGACGTCCTTCCGAAATTAATGTATAAATTGATTGTTTCTACTGAACCGACAAACAAGTCATCTGTGCCAAAGTCAATTTTGTACGATTCACATGTGATAACTGCGAGTAACCCGATATTAATAATAAATTGGAAAGAATCCGGCATATGTATATTTTTTCATTCATAATAATGTAACTGAATATTTTGATTGCTAAATATAGTAGACCTTGAATAAATATTCTTGAAATTATTCGTTTTTATGAAACGTGAGCGATCGAAATTCTTGTTTTTCTGATAAACATTAATAGACTCGATTGCATTGTAATATTTACAAATATTGCTATCTACCTACAAAAATATGAGCATCGAAAAAGAAAAACAGTATCGAAAACGTTCGACAATTTTATGATCAGACAATAGGTTTGCCGGTTTTCTCTTCCGTTGTCTTTTGATTGATTTTTATGGGACATTCTTGCAGAATTTATATTCGTAATAACGTGTCGTTATCTTGTTTATCTTTCTAACGACTTGCGCTTCCCTAACCATTTAACTTCTCTTTCTTCACTCCAGTAGGTGATAGCCAATCAAATTATAAGAAACGAAGGCTATGTGTAATTGACTTTACACTATGCAGCAGTGCTGAGTTCCTTATGAAGGAAAGTTTCAATGTCTACGCGACATATGGGGCATCGCTTGTTGGTGCATAACCACTGATCGACGCAGTCTATGTGGAATAAATGCATACATGGAAGCCTCCTGCATAATAAAAAAAGACCATTAGAATTTTATCATAAGTTTAATATTTTACGAGATTTTGTTTGGAACAAAGTACTTCTATGTGTAAAATGCTCACCTGACACTTTCACAGTCTTCAAATTCAGACAGACATATCGTACATTTCTCCATAGCATCTTCTCCGTTTTCAACTTTTTTCATCTGATAAAAAAAAAGTGACGTAATAAAAAGCTCATAAATCGCAGTATTCATTGGCAAATTGTAGTATGAAAACGTACCCGCTTATACTTATGAGGGAATGTGTGACTTTCTATTGATTCTTGTGTAGCTCCACAACTTATATGCGCCATACGCCGCAAATCCACAATACGCATGTAATTATCAAGCCTTGCATTCATAGGTCGAGTCTGACGGAAAAGTAAGTCTTGTAATGGACTCAACCGTGGGTACGACATGTCCTGTTCCATGTAACCTCCCTGTAAGAGACAATAAGAAGTTAATACAACGACAAAGACTTAGAAAAGTTTCGATGCTAATACGTAAATAGTATATATGAAGCCTCACAGCAAGATGTGGTAAAAGACTTATATGAAGATGATGGAAGCGCTGTGGCATCGGTGGCGACAGATGCGGATGATAGTGATGCATGTGATGATGTACGTGTTGATGAACGGGCAACGAAGTCATCATTTCCGGTGGAGTTGAGTCCATATCCTCGGTATTACTTACGGGGTCCATCTAAATTAAAAATGTGGCTATGATGAGGTTAAACAAGGACTTTGAACTTTTAGGTTTCAAGGTTCACTCCATAGATAGCCATTAAGTATACAATGTGATTATATCCAATGTTGAGCACTTATGAATAGAAAAAAAAACAATAAAATCTATTAAATCACATGAATGCACGTACCATGACGGTTTGTGGAGAGGGCGGTCCAAAGCTTGGCTGTCTCCTGACCTCAGGATGGCTATAGACAGTAGGCTGTTGGGGAGGTGGCAGAGGAGGTGGTGGATGGTAATTGTTAGTGTACATAGTATTGTCCCTTCCATTACATCTAGTGCTGGAGGAACTGCTGCCGATTGCATTACACAAGTGCGGTCCTGATTGATGTACTTGGTGTGCAGGATTCGAAGTTACGCATCTAAAGTAAATAAAATATCTTTATAGTGCGACTTGTTTTTTAATTGCTTTAAAATATTCGACGTAAGTGTATTGAGGAGTAGAGTTAATGATTAAGGATGGAGGATAATGGAGGAAGAGTAAATGATTAAGGAGATATGGATAGAATAATCTACAGATAGTAATAAATTTCAATTATGGTAGTATATGTTTATCATACCCATAATGTAGCGTTGTTCTAGCATAGAGCCTTCTACGATGAAGTTCCTGTGTACGCTGTTGACTCCTCCACAAGCGTTCTTGTACAGGGTGCATGCGAGGTATAACCATATCTGTGGGTGTATCTGCTGAAAGTATGGAATTTGCTGTTAGATGTTGACTATTTCCAACTTTCATTCCTGTTATTTATATATACCATCGTAGGGCGTGTAAGTCTGATCGTAAACTGGAATTCTTGGACGATCATGGGAGTACATATGGCGGTTATAATAAACATAAGGTCGATAGTCTGGTGGACCATGCATGCAGCAGGAACTGCTTCTGTAATTAGCAAATAAAGAATATTAAGGTATGTCTTTTTTTTATTTGATAAAATCTAATACCTGTGACTGTGGTCATTAGTCTGCTGCACATTTGGATCATTAGTAGGCATGGTTGGAGTATGCTCCTCGTCAGATTCTGCGGTCAAATCTACAACCGTTACTGTTCGCCCATTCAGATCCTTTTTCTGTAACAAAATAATTAACTGGAGTGAATTCAGTCACAATGAGGGATTACATTAGATGGTATTCATTCAAATAAAAATTTTCGGATATGGATCCTACCTTATTATTGCGATTTACAGTTCCAAGAACTTCAACAGTATACTCTTCATCATCACTGCCGCTAGACGATGACCAATCTAATTGTAAATCAGGAGCTGATGGTGTGTCGTCATTCCCTACATGATTAAATTATTGTAGGCAGTGTAGCGTGAACGTTAATTAAATTCTTGAGTAATAGTGATTTTCAGTAGATTTAATGTTAATAAACGAAAGAAGTAGTCATACTAGTAGAATGTCTTGGATGAACTTCATGAGGATTTAACACCATTGGCAGTTGCGGAGTGAATAAAGTAGCTTCATGGGTATTACCATTTCCAGCATCTTGCAAGTCTTGATCTGAGACACCTCCGACATGGGTTGTAGATCTGGTTATGCTACGAAGATTCAAGATATATGCGTTTAACACTAAGATTTAGCTGCTTATCACTTTTCGAAGTGTCTCAATTATGCTGAAAATATAAATTGTATAACAGCGATGATACCATCAAGCACGTTTTCTTTTTAAAAATATAATGGCACATTGGATCATTACTCAACAGTTTTCAACACGGATATTTCTCATTAAATCTGGTGGGCATAGTTGTACCAAGATGTATGACGACATAAATTTACAATTCTGCATAATCATAACTGTTAAGAATCCAAACAAAATGTTTATGGGAAATGAGGAACTGCGATGTCAGAGTGAAGTAAATTCAGGTATAATATATAGGTATATTTTTTTGTCAGCAATGTCACAAACCTGTAGTCTACTGGATGATCCACCACTCTGGATGGTCCAGGTATACTGAGGCTGACTGGTAACTGAGTATTAATTGTTTTATGTTCATCATTTTTCTTTGCTTTATGTTTTGGTGGGAGATCTCTTTCATGAAGAATTCTTTTACGTCGATGAGTGTCGCATACCCACTCCTCACAAGCATTATTGTCGGTCTGGGATCCTGCAGGATCTTTTTTATAGTGCCTCTCTTGTCTAGTTTGGCACATGTTGCAATTATGATGGTCTAAGTGCCAAAATTCTCTTGAGCCAGTGCTTCTTTCAGGTTGAGGCATGTATGGCACAAAAGAATAATTGTTTTCAGGAGCAGGTCTATGTGACTGAGATGGGAAAGGTGCAACTGGCTCAACAACAACAGGCTCAACAACATCAGTTTCCTCAATGTCGCTTTCAGCAAATAAATGTTCATATTCCATTTCATTGCCTAAAACCAATAAACAATGATTGTTTCACTCTGATTCAATTTGATGATATAATTATTGCAATTAACCTGAATTAAACCGAGATTGTGGAGAAGGATCAACTGTAGATGTAAATGCTGTATCAAGTATGTCTGCTAAAGATGTGTTCCCTTCCATAGCGCAAGTGCCTGTTTCTTCATTAAAAAGCTCACTTCTCTCTCCTATAATTTCTTTATGCCTTATATTTTCAGAACTCTTCCCCTCTTCCATTCTAAATCAAACATTGAATTTTTTATTAAAAAAAAAGTGGCTTAGTAATGACCTCAGACTATTAAGTTCAACATCATTTGTCCCATATCATACTAAGTATAATGACTCATATGACAGATAAGTAAAACATTCAGATTAAAAAAAGAGTAGGTACTAGAATATTAGATATTAAAAGAGAATTTATAATGTATAAGATGATTAAGAAAAAAAAAGGAAAATATGTGAATTCCCTTTTACAGAGTGTAAATTAAGAACAAAATAAATTCAACCGTATTAATAGATAAAAGGCATAGAGAATGGTATCTTGTTCTACTGAAATTAATAAGTTAACGTAATATTATAGTAAGTGCTGATGGTATTCAAGCTCCAAAACGGCTCCGATCCTCTTTCTGACCACGCTTTGTTATACATGTAATGGAGTTGCAAGGAGCCACGAAATTGTTGTGAATCATGACTTTAAGAAACTGGCTATTCGCAGTACGTTTCAGAGACTTGCGAAATAGATACCACAAGAAATTAAAGAGTAATTAATTGGTGTTACAAAGGCGGCGTCCACGTACATACCTTGCACTTTCTTCGACCAGTTTAATAAAGTGATAAAACTTCTTCTTCACGACGTCGTTTTCGGTAAAAGATTCATATCGCGTACTTCACTGTCCCTTGAACAGATACTTCATGCCCGTCAACGTCAATCCCCTATCTTGGTTACTTGAAATTTATATAATTTGAAGCCTATACATGAAAATTTAACTACGGATATTCTTATGTCAGGAACAACAATAAAACTGGCAAGGGTCCACATAGATCACCCCTTTGCTCAACGGCATTAAACAACCACAATACCATCAATCGTATCTTCGGCTAACTACACTCGGCTCCCATAGCTTCGCCGAACGTACAGAACTTCGTTTTGCCGATGTCTGAAAGCAATGAAATTTCAGAGAAGCATGAAACCTCGAATAAGCAAAAAATAACAAGTGATTTAGGCTCCGTTCACATACCGTCGTCTATGATTTCTGGGGACATTTATCTCTTCATGTTTTGTTACTAGCGGGTATTTTTTTTTAGTGATAAAACTATCTTCTTATCTAATTTGCTAAAAGTTTGTGACTGTTCCATCAAACAGTTCTGTGCGAAAGTTACAGACTGCGCCCGTATTCCTTTTGTACTCTTCTTCCTAGCCCCTAGCAGCCAGAACCTTTTATGGTGACTGGCTCGATAATTCAATAGCGATTTTTAGTTTCTGATTGGAAAGTATAACTTTAAAAATGGCTGTGGCTGCCAGGGCATTTTCAAAATTTACAGGTGAGTCCTCATTTATTCACATTAATTTAGGTGACTTCTCGATGGCACTTTGCAATATCCGCTTAGGGATTTGAGCTAATCATATATGTTACATTTTGCCGTTATATTTTCATCGTTCCTTCGCAAAAGTTTACTTATTTTGTATATGTAAAATAGAGAATCGATTCAGTATGAAACACCATCAACTTCTTATTATATAAGTCAGCAGACAAGATTTAGAACGTAAATTGTATTAATAAAATTAAATTTGTCTACTGCATACTATTGCTATCTTCTCCATTATACTCTCTTAATGAATAATAATGTATAGGCGTTTTTATTATTCGCTTTTACTTAAAATGTCGCTTTTTTATATGTTTAGCCTTACATTGATTGGTTATCTAAAGTGTCAGATCCATGTGGATATCTTGAAACTCATTTTTATATTGATTTAAGGAAAATACTATAATGAATTATTTAACATACTGGTACCTAGTTCAGCTATGAGTATTCTGTGATCATTTTGTTAGCATGACCTTGTTTCCAATTTCTATTCATGATGGCTATATATTCCTTGGATCCTATTCAATCCACAGATCTTGACCTTCTAAGCTGAATAGAATTAAATAGTATTGCTAATAATATTGCTATAGTAGTTTTATAAATGAAACTGATGTAATTATATGAAACAATTTTTTTCAATAAACTAATTTTTATAAAAAATCTCTAATGAAATATATATATGTCTTGTTTCAGTTGCGGGTCGTAGTAATTTGCTGCGAACTCAAATTAGATTTAATTATACAGAAACAAGAAAAAATTTGAAAATTGACTCGAATACGAAAGTTATATGTCAAGGATTCACTGGAAAGCAAGGTACTTTTCATTGCCAGCAGGCCATTGACTATGGCACTAAAATTGTCGGTGGTGTTAGTCCTAAGAAGGCTGGTACAGAACACCTTGGAAAGCCTGTGTTCAAATCTGTAAAGGAGGTAGGTTTTTTACCTTTACAATATGCAATGGGCTTCTGTAAAAATTATTTTCTGTCAAAAAATTACATAATACTGATGAAGTTAAATGGAGTACATTTTATGCTCCAAAAATATAATATGATAAGATCTTTTGAAACATGTTAATGATTAACATCAACAGTATAATTTACACAGTTATTTCTTCTTGAACAAGCACTTTATTTCACCATATCAACATTTTCTATCAGGGAATCTATCTACCAATACCATGTAGGATACACAAGTAGAAAAAATATAAAGATAGATAAATTCATGAGTACATGTCACTTAATATGAACACTGAGATTTTCAAGCCCTCCTTTACACTCAGTGTTATCTGCTGCATAGGTGAGACATACAAATCCTAGGATTAATCATATATTCAGATGTGAAAGTTACAATTTGTCTGACCCAGATTTATTGGCAGCAATTGTACTTCACATTTATGAGAAATTGTAAATCTTGGCATATTGAATATAAATCCATAATAATAATTACACTTCAATAAATTTCAACTAAAGAAAAAAGTGGATGTCTAGTATCAGTGCTAAGAAACATAATGTCAATACAAAAACTGTTGGCCTTATTGTACTGTAGCATAGAACTCATATAAGCATACATAAATAGCCTCACTAAGAAATGGAATTTGGACTACAGTATGATTATATTTTATCATTAACTTGTGGTATGATAAATAAGGCGACTGGTATCACAATGTTGGTAAACACCAAATTTCAGTCGATGATCTTAGTTTTATTTTAAGCTTTTTCTTGCATAAAGATTAGATATGAGTTCATTTGTACTATTTTGCCTATATCACGTATAGAACTGGATACACCTCCAGGTATAAACATATTTAATAATCGTATCGTCGTGTGTTACTATTATGATTGGAAACTATTTCATTTGTTTATCAGGCAAAAGAGGCAACTGGCGCAACAGCTTCTGTTATTTATGTACCTCCACCAAGTGCTGCAGCAGCCATTATGGAGGCTTTGGATGCTGAAATGCCATTGATCGTATGTATCACTGAAGGTATTCCTCAACATGACATGGTCAAAGTGAAAAGGCGATTATTAGAACAGAACAAGTCTCGCCTTATCGGGCCAAACTGTCCTGGAATTATTGCTCCGGAGCAGGTGCGACCATAATTCCATATTAGTATCTTTTGAAGAAACTGTCCGCACCAATGCTCAATTAATAACTTATATTATTGAATTCAGTGTAAAATCGGCATTATGCCAGGTCATATACATCAAAAAGGAAAAATCGGTATTGTCTCAAGATCTGGAACTTTGACTTATGAGGCTGTGAACCAAACGACACTCGTAAGGACCAATTTTTTCAAAATTATTAACAAATTATTATATGATAAATATGAATGTATATTTTTATTCAAACAGACAGGCCTCGGACAGTCGTTATGCGTTGGAATCGGTGGTGATCCTTTCAATGGAACCGATTTCATTGACTGCCTGGAAGTCTTCCTAAAGGATCCTGAGTGCGACGGAATCATAATGATCGGAGAAATCGGTGGAAGTGCAGAGGAATCGGCAGCCGAATATCTCATCGAACATAACACTGTCGGTTGCTGTTCTAATTTATTGGTACCCAAATATATCCTGTGTCCTAATCCACACCTACTTCAATTACAGCCCACCTCATAGCCCTGTACAACCCTCTTCATTTCAATACGCACAGAAAGTTAATGTGCTGTAAAGTAGTAAATCTAATATTGAACGAAGAATCTTGAAGCTAAGCACTTTTGGTTTACAATAAAAAAAAAATGATGTTCGTATTTCAGGGCCCGAAAGTTAAGCCAGTTGTCTCCTTCATTGCCGGCATAACTGCTCCACCGGGACGAAGAATGGGTCATGCAGGTGCCATTATCTCTGGAGGGAAAGGCGGTGCTCAGGATAAAATAGATGCTCTCGAAAAGGTAATAGGTTTTTTCTTCTAGTGTATGCATATTTATTTTTTACAGGAGTCAAGGTGGTAATATATTTGGCTCTTTTCACTTGAAATTTTACAATTTCGTACTGTCTGTTTTGTTTTTTACTCGGACTTTGAGATGATATGCAGTATGATTAATATTGCATTTATTATAGGCGGGTGTAATCGTAACAAGGAGTCCTGCACAAATGGGTAATACGCTATTGAAGGAAATGACTCGCCTTGGCCTCGTCTGTAATTAAGAGAGCGAACATTGCTATAAAACTATGTAGTTTTTCTCCATGTCCATGTATCCTCGTAAAATAAATTCTCAGTGTAACCTCTACTACGTTGATCTGACATTGGATCAATGGGAACATAATGTGGAGGTTATCCAAAGCCGAAACAAACTAATTATATGCGATACAAAATGTTGTTTGTATCCATTCGCAGAACGTCCAAAGTTGGAATTAACATGGCAAATGGTAAATTCTGTTTTATGTTTAAATTATACCATTTTTTTTAAATACACAGTATTTGCTACATGTCTACAAAATGTTTTGTCAGTGGTAGGAGATCAAGCCTGAATCTCATGCAGATTAGGATTTGATATTTGCCATTGGTTTGTTAAAGTCTTCTTCTGCCACAGCTTATAAAGCAACTTTGTGTACTCTACCATTAGGTGTAATATTAAAAAAAATTATGTATACTATGCACTCACATTGTATATTATGTTGAATATTAAATTATATCTGTTATAACATCGAATCTTGTGATTCTCATTGTATGCAATAATGATTAAATATTAGAATCCCATAATTTCATTTATACAATTCACAATGTTCTTACTCTTATCAGTTCTAAATGGTTTTAATCTTGATAAATCCATAGTTTTGATTACATCTAATAAAGTATCACATGTACAATAGTATAAATGTCCATCTTCATAGAGTTGTGATGCTAATTCAAGTTGATGATTATCCATTAGAAGCTGATTAGTTACAACTATCAACGGCTTTTGAGCCTCTAATACTTCTAAACAAGTACCTGCCCCAGCATGACTTATTATTAAATCAGCAGACAATATATATTCTTTGATCGAAGGACTTAAGTGAAAATAATCTATGTGATGGAACCCATACCTTGGTGTACAGTTTGGGTCTAACGCACTATTACCAATCTGTAGGGTTAAATAATTGTATCCTTTTTTGTTTAAATTCTAAAACAAAAAATACTAATGATATTATCATTACTCAAAATCTATAATAACTTTGTTCTACAAATAGAAATTATGGAAAATAATCATGCCTAGCTTAGTCTGCGTACCTTCAGTACTTGAGAATCTGTTACTGTATTAATTAATTCGTCAAATTTTGTGGTGCCAACAGTAACAAATATATTCTTCGACATTTTTATTACAAATCGCTGTGAGGTTAAGGTTCATCAGATAAAGCAGTGGTTTGCAATACTCGCAATGCTACACTGTACAGTTAGGCGAATGTACATAACACGATATGAAATTTGAATTACATGCTGATGACATATTTTATATTAATAATCATTTCAAATAATGAAATTTAACAATCTTTTATGCTAAGAAATGAACAAAATGGAATAATCAATCTGGAAAATTTTTATGTACAGCAAGAATCACAATCAATTTTCTCACGATTCTTTATATCGCCAAAGTGGTCTAATCCAATTTTTAATTAGAGATGAAAATATAATTTTCCAAAATTGTCCAGCGATAATTTCATTGTAAACCATCACCAGAAACATTTTTTGTCGCTTCCTTTCATACACTTTCATATGACAATTTCGTTGTAGTCTTTTTGCTCGTACTGTTGGTAGTACTGTGCACAGTACAAGAGCGGAAGTTGACGTCATGCTGATGGACATTTCCATTGGGAGTGCAGTGTGGTAGTCAGTGGTAGCCCGTTTCGTTCACGATTTGGCATCATTTCGTTTTCTATTTAGTTATGGTAGACGAACCTTGCATCAATTTATGAGGGACGGCCTACTATATCGATCTTCTTTCGAGCGTGTTTAAGTTTTGGATAAAAACTAGTTTCATCCTGACGATCATTTTCTGAGAGTAATGGCTGATGTTGAAGGAAAGAAATTAACAGAATTACGGGTGATAGATCTTAAAACGGAATTAGAACGTCGTGGCCTCGATAAAACGGGTAATAAAGCAGCCCTTTTGGAACGTCTTTCTAAGGTAAATAGTCTTATGTTTTAAAGGTATCCGAATATCTGCTTGTGTGACTCTTTTTATGATGGCGTGTCGAATGGCGTGACGCCATTTTAACCCTATTGATCCCTGGATGGCTTGATTTTAGTTCATACTTGCTTCGTGTTGTTCCAACTGCGGTTTTAGAGTAAGGCGTGGAAAGTATAAGTTGAACAGCTTCACTTTCACTTTTGAGAATAAGAATTTAGTGTGAAGCTGATAGAATAATGTATCTTTTAGCAATGATTTTGCAATGTTAGTTTCAAATTATATTATAGAATTGGATTGTATGTATTTGAAAAGTTCTACAAATAGACGGTAGTTACATTTTCGTATACTTTTTTTTTAAATTTTCATATAAATATTCACACAATATATATATACTCTTATATTACTGTATGTAGTATTTATAAATTCAGATTTGATTTAAAAAATTTGGTTATATAGATTTGTAGATTATTATCCTTGTTTCGGCATTTACAGGCAATTGCTGATGAAGGAGAGAACCCTGATGAATATCTGATTGTTCCATGTGGTGGAGTTAGTAAAATGAATCCAAGGAAAAATAGTGGTATATATGTCATATGGATAAATTTTGATATATTATAAAGTTTTGTTGTATTGGCTGTTCTTTCACATACTTAATATATTTTTAACAGGGACAGGGGTATCAAGTCAGGAAGAGCCTATGGATACCTCTGATACACAGAAAGAAGGAAATTTGGATACACAAGAAATTACAGATATCAAGCCTAAAGAAGAAATAGCAGAACCTCTTGTAGAAAATGAAGTAGCTTCATCCAAAAAAGTGGTAAAGCTTGATAAAAAGAATTTAATATCACTTAATACAGTTATTTAGTAATAGCTGTCCAAAATGTTTGTACTCCATTATAATAATTACACACAAAGACATTTAATGCTATCTTTTATATATACGTCTCCAGGAAACTCAGGGAGAAGATCAAAAGAAAGTACCTAAGATTGAAGAGGAAAAGCAAGAAGTCAAAGAAGAAGTACAGAATGAAACGAATGGTGAAACGAAAGATACAGAGAAGAAAAGTGATGGTGAAAAAAGCAACAGAAGTCCTCCTGCTAATCCCCTTGTTGCCATCGAGGCAAATGGTATTGACAATGAAGATTCAATAAATTTGACAATTGGAGAGGATGAAGAAAACCTCCTTGCCGAAGAGGTAACGTACTTCGATTGAAATATTCATGTATATTGCAATTAATATAATTATATACAGTTTTAATATAAGTATTAATATAATAGTACAGTATTAATATAATAATCAATATTACAGTAAAGGTACTATCATAAATCAGTGTAGATGAACCTACATTAACCTATATTTTATATTTATTCTTTCAGACTGAGACTCACGACAGGCAGAAGGGTAAGTTTGACTTTGTAAAGTATTCTGATTTTAAATATAAAGTTTAGTATTAAGTTTCCAAAGAATGGAAATTAGCGGTATTATTAACAACGTCGCGGAGCGGAGAGTAAGTTACTCGAGCCCGCTGACCATCAAGATCAAGGAAAGTATTGAATATCATCGGTGAAAGCACATCAACCTAGACTCTGGCGGTGTCCTGAAACAAACTTCATCCAACGTCCACTGCTACCTTCCTGAAGCCCCGGAGCTGGAGTTGGACAACGTACAGGAGTCGGAATAGGATGACAACAACAGTGGAATCATCCTGACCGATTAGGACGGAGTTCTGCCACTTCAGCGAACTACGAGCGATCAGCGATGTTGTCGACCGTGGTGACAACATAACGGTTCCAGCTCTGAACGAAATTCACATCTATTCTACAATTTCCTACGTGTCGCTGTGGAGCATGTTGCTTTAAAAAACATGTATCCATTAAGTGCTAGTCTATAAGTTAGTTAACGCTAGAATTTGTTATGAAATTACATTAATTATACCTGCCGCATAGAGCATCGTTGGATCTTTATCATCGATTCTCATAATGGATTAACGAAGAAGTCACCTATATTTCTGAAACTTCGGCCCTGCGTAACCGGTTACCAGAACGTTATTGAGCATTGTACTAATGCAAATGGAACGAACAGCCATAAAGTACGAGCCAACTTATAGCGAAATATCAAACAAGATCGATGCGGTGTTCGCACGAGCGCGTTTTCCGGCCTGAGGCTTTTGATATTGTAGGAAACACTGGAATATCGGAGAACAAGAGAACTACTCAACACGTCGATTCAGATCTCGTACCGGATTACCGCTCTGCGTTCTGCCATCCTGCTTTGCCCTTTTTAGTGTCTCTTCTTGTTTACCAGTCTACGAATTCTGGACCCACGGTGTCCAGAGGTTGAGAGAGAGTGGTAGCCCTCTCGTGCCTTGAGCGCAAAAAATTAGCTTTCCCCTACAGAGAGGACGTCGTCGTCATCCCAGTCATCCTAGTCATCGGTGTCTACGGTGCACGAGGTTCCTGGGCCCCTGCGACGATCCTCTAGCCACGTCTTATTCGGTGTGGTCTTTCAGTGACATGGAGAACGCCTGCACAGAAGTGCCAGTCGCTAGAAGAGATTTTTAGGGAGGGTGGAAAATCTGGCTCGTCAGAGAGTGACCACAATGCTACCTTGATTGTCCCTGCAGATGGAGGAGAGAAGAGAACGGAAGAGAACAAAAAAGGAGACTCTAAAGGGAGCGGCAGAGCAGACGGTGGATCCAACAACAAGGAAGGGACGTCGTCCAGCGCAAACGTCGGGATGAAGAGCAAGCAGGACGGTGGCGATGGAGGCAAGAGGTTGGTCTCACATTGCTAAACGGTTCACAGTGGTTCGCCAACAAAAAAAAAATGTCTCGTCAGGCACTACTCTCTGCTATAGAGATGTACTCTCCTGTGCTGGATACGCCAACGATCTGGATATATAAAATCCTATTATATCGCACGACGCTTCCCAAGAGATCAATCAATTCCAGCGGGATCGTACGCAAGATCACTTTGTTTCCCCTTTTTTCTAAAATCGAATACGGAGCACGCTCCAATGTCGATTGTACACGGTATATCTCTTAGGCTATAATTCTTAACTCTGGGAAGTATGTTAAGAAATTGAGAAATTGGCTAGCAAACTTACATAAATCGGATTGCCGAGAGTCATCGCGTACAAAGAGAGAGTGATAGAGAGAGAAAGTGTGTGAGAGAGAGAGAGAGAGAGAGAGAGAGAGAGAGGGAGGAAAGAATGAAGCTCCGCGCTTGTAATTTTCTCCTTCTGAGCTTTTCCTAAAAGTGCTCCGATATAAAGTGCTTCGAAAAACGTTCGAACACGGACACGAATGGACCCCAAATGTGTGACCCCACATGACATAAGTTCGGTTGAAGTCTCGACCTCTATCCTCGAATGAAACTACCTTATCCTACATCGAGACTCCCAATACGGACATTAGAATTTCAGTGTCGATTACCTTAAAACGAGAGACCCCTCGTGCACGTGTCGACGAGGTTCCATACAATTGAGAGAAGAATCGGCACTTCCTTAAGTATCGCGTAAATGTCCATAACTCTCTGGGTTTTCACGGGAGCAGCCACGCCATGCGAAGAATAATGTCAACCAGGGATAGCTGCGGTTGCGGAAATTTATACTAGAGGAACGAGAAGTGTCAATCTACGTACATGGATGTAATGGTATTTTCTATGTAACGTGGTACAGGTGAAAACTGGAATTTTTTAAATATCAGGAGGATACGTGCACGGACCAAGACTGGACTTGGTAATTTTCCCGACGTCCCGAGTGAGAGCATTCATAAAATATAATGATCTTTAAGATCATTCTTTAACAATGAATACGTGAAAAGAAAGAGAGAAAAAAATGAACAAGTTGCTAGCCAAATTTGTGCACTTAACATAGTTACAGAGGTACCTATTAAGCCTCAGTAAAATAGAATCGAAAAAGTTTACTCTTTAATTTCCAATGCCCTACGAATTGGCTCATTCTTCTTTTAATTAATAATTATACAATAATTACAGTGGAGACTCCGGCAACAAGAACCCAAAGAGAGATGATAAAGGTAAGTTTTTTGTTGTTGTGAAATGTGCACTCTTTTCTTATGTAATAGTTGAATTTCGAACGCGTCAGACTACTTTGTTTGCATGCCAGCAGATAAGAAAATATCACCAATCAGCCCAGCTAATGCAAGTAGTAGAAACTTGTGGGTATCTGGATTATCGTCTACGACTCGCGCTACTGACTTGAAGCAAATATTTTCTAAATATGGCAAGGTGATAGGAGCCAAAGTGGTGACTAACGCTCGAACTCCCGGTGCCCGATGCTATGGGTACGTTACTATGTCAACCAGTGAGGATGCTGCAAAATGTATACAACACTTGCACAGGACAGAACTTCACGGTCGTGTGATATCTGTTGAAAAGGTACGGAAAATTGTCATGTATGCTATGACATTGTATTATATGACAATCAAATGTATTACTTTAAATATTGAATACCGACATTGTTAGGCAAAGGGTGATTCTCAGCAGAGCCACATGAGAAAGCGCGAATCGAACAGCGGAAAATCGGACAAGAAGGAAGAGAAGGAGAAATCCAAGGAAAATCCTGAACCAAACGAGAGAAAGGAAAAGGAAGTGAAAAAGGAGACAGAAGAAAAAGTCTCCGAGTCGAGTAAGTTGACGCAACAACTATATACCAATCTGAAATATCAGCTCATCAAATTTACCTCGTACGACAATTCACTAGCCAAAAAGTCCGAGGAGAACAGCGAGGTCTCCGATGAGAAGAAGGCGGAATCCTCCGAAAAGAAGGAAGAGCCGTCAAAGGAATCAGATTCCCGTTCAACAAAGTCTACGAGCAAGAAACCAGAGAGCGAACGTGGAAGACGTGATGAGAAGAGGATTCGTACCTGGGAGCATCACCGCTCTCATACTCGTTCGCGAAGCAGGGAACGTCGCCGTCGCGACGACATACTGACATTCGCAAAAATAAGGGTTAGCCAGGCTATTTTTATTTCATCCTTGACTAGTCATCGTACCCTTCGCTATCCCTGCCAATTCACAACCGTACCATCCTATGGATCCAAAGTACCATAAACTTTCCATGCGAAGTCGGTCGATCATCGCCCAATTAAAACTACCCTTAAGACTCTACCTGTTAAACGAGCTCAAAGCACATATGAAATGCAGGAGGAACGCGAGAGGCAGAGACTACGCGAGAGGGAAAGGATGTTACGTGAAGAGGAACGACGACGACGGGAGGACATGGAACGTCAACGTGAGATTGAACGTAGACAGCGAGAAGAGGCTGCGCGTCTAGAGAGGGAACGCGAAAAGTTAAGAAGAGAGCGAGAAAGGATTGAGCAAGAAAAGGCCGAGCTGCTGCGCCTTGAACGCGAGAGACAGAAATTGGAAAGAGAAAAGCTTGAGCGGGAGAGACTGGAGCTGAAGAGGCAGCAGATGCGACTTGAGGAAAGTCGGCGTCCACCACCGCCACCATCGATCAAGAGATCTTCCAGCGATAGAAGAGACCCTCGTGATCTTTACGTGGAACCGGATAGAAAACGGATCACTACTGAACATAGTCGGAGACATAGTCCTGACCGTGTGTCTGATAGACGTCCAGAAATCTTGGATAGAGTTTCCGATAGACGATTAGATCCTTCGCCACCATCTCGATACGAATCCACCAGGTATGTCTTCTTGATTGCTACATATTATTTCGTGTGTATCTTATCATTATACATCAATAATAATCACAATTTCATTATTTTCTAAAGATACCTCTTATATTATTTGCAGAACGGCTCAGGATATAGGAATAAAGAAGGACTTCAAACGAAGTGCCGACTTCCCATCTCGCAGCAACCGTCCTGATTCATTTCCCGAAGTGACCCGTGGTAGAGAGGTGATAGTTCGTCGCGAGCCACTTCCATCACAGACATCTTCTATCGATCCGCGACAAGTAAAGGAAAGGTACGTACATCAGGGACCAATAAGACACTACAAGTTTATCATTATATTATTATTTCATTAATTTATTCAAATAATTATGTGCAGATACGATCGTTCAAGCACCACAACGTATGGCAGAGAACGTGATGTTAGACGATCCGAAGCTGAATCTCATAGAAGTTCTCGTGACAGTCATACTCGGTATAGTGAAAGCACGAAACCTCCAGGATCCAGTGCACCTCGTAAGTCATACGTATATTCTCATATAAAATAATATTCTGCATGAAGAAGTTTGTTCCTCTATGCATTAATTCCAATTGACACAACAAACTCGACCATAAATTCGTTGTTGATTATTCGAACAAATGTTGATCAAAATTGCATCATATTTTTGCTTAATGCTTTGGAATTCGCATTTTTCATGCAAATTCAATGTGTAACAGTATTATTAATTCTGGCCGACCACGTGAAGCATGAGCAATATGTACTTGACGTACAAATAACATATCTGTATTGAATTAAAGAAGTACATAACTGCACAAATGAAGAAAGTCAAAGAGAACACAAAGGATTGATGCAGATTCCTTAGTTCAGTGAACGATAGTTGTAGAATGAAGTGATGTCTTGAGCACGTAGGCAAGTAGTAATGTGTTATTAATTTTTGACAATGCCTGTACCGTAGTTAGCAAGGTATGTGCGTGCAGTCTATAAAGAAAAAGCAACAAGTATTTACTGAACGCAACGGTGTAATCAAATTTCAGCTTTGTATACAAAGAAGCCGTATAAGCAGTATACGAAACCCTGCAGTGATTATTGGGCATAAATTCTGAACGTACATAAAATGCGAGTGCGCATAAACTTGTTCTACAAAATGAATTTCGATTGACATATGCCAGTGACGCAATAGCAACGTCTTTGAGTCGATCGCTTTCCGCAGATTAAATAATGCGCATCGGTACTTCAATTTAAGACTGTGCTATACTTGATTACAGTAAGAAATCAAGATTTAATATTCCAATGATTTTGATAGGCATAAATCGCGTGAGACGATCTGCCTATAATGAACGGACAAAAAAAGCAGCAAAAAAAATAATTAAAAATGAGAAATATAAATAAATACACTTGGCGTACGACTGTCTTTAAGTAGTGATACTGTGTAATCCGCTACATAATCGTGTATGCTTTATTAATAAAAAATTGTATGATTTCACACATTCTGTTGCTTTTTATTGTAGCAAGTTGGACCTATCATCAGTCATGAGGAATACTAACTGGCGATGGGAAAGAGGTACGTTTGTAACGTTCAACCTTTTCCAGCCTAGTGTTTCCAACTATGATATATTGCTAACATTTTTGGTCAATTGTACCTTCCTCTTGTTTTGATAATTTTCTTTGATCAAGTGTATCATTTAATTAAAGATAATCAGAATGGAGCTTAATGTGATTCTCACATTATTTTTTATTATAAAGCATACTAGATATGTGGCATTCGGACGCTTTTTGAACTAATTGACGTTGCTACTGAATAGCTTATCGCATAAGGCATAATCATTAGACATTTATTTAGTTTTATAGAACTATAATTTTAGGTGTATTTACCTAGATTTTCACTATATTTTCAGTTGGAATAGAAATGTTCATCATATCATTTGTCAAATGACACGTGGTCCTTGACGTGGAAAAGCAGAAGACAAGAATTATGATTTTTCTGTGTTTACGCCCATTATAATATTTATCTAAACAGGTTTGCTCTCAATGAAGACAGAGAGGAAAAAAAAAGAAAGCGAGTGTCTGTTATATAAAAGATGTGTAATTGATTATTAATTATTATCATAAATCACATCCATTGATGTGCAAGAATTCTCGACAGTACCAAAATTTCTATGATACTTTAAAAACATTTTTCTATCTAAATATTATTTTATCAGGTCAAGAACGCAGCAAAGCCGTGACCCACATTTTTTTTACCAACAGTTAACTGAGTGACACGCAATTTTCTTTCATAAAGTAGTCGACTTCATCTATTGGTATCTTGTTTGTACTAGGTGACAGCCGATATGGCGACAGCAATCGAACTACTAGCGGTTGGCATTCTGCGCCACAATCGGCGAAATCGTTCAATTCTGTACCAAGTGGTGGACCTCGAGATCCTCGCGGTGAGACATCTAGCTGGAGCGGTCGTTCCTCCGATAACGTTAACAGGTCATCATCACATTAAGTAGAAAATAATTATTTAATAGTGAAAAGAGTCTTTTTTGTTTATTGCTTTTTTTAAATAATTAAATAGATGGAGCAACTCCAGCAATATGGGAAATACTATGAGACATCCCGGACCACCGATTTATCAAGGAGGACCAATTCAATCAATTGGATTAACTGCTCCAGGAACAGGACCGTCGTACGATCGTTTCGATCCGTACAAATCATCTATGCCGAGCATGAGAAAATATTAACGATTTTCTTGAATGATCGAATACGATGGAGGTACGAAGAGGAAGTTCCTCGCAATGTATTTGCGAGAGTAATTAAAAGCACGAGTTTGCTTCTATAAGTTTAGACGTTAATTATCATAATTACTGGGATCATATCGATCTCCTTAATAATGATAGTTTTTATTATAATAATTCATGTGCGTACCTGACACGAGTGTCTTAAGTCCTTTCAATTACATAGCTGATTTCCTGCGAGACATTTGTATAACATTACCAGAAAAGGCTGATCGCCATTTTATTCCATAATTCGCTTCTGGCCAACTCTTATAGGCTGATCATCGTCAATGTTTTCTTATATTTAGATATAAATATACGTACGAGATCAAAAAAGAGTTTCGTCAGAAATTCTTACTTGGCGCACAGTAGACTTATTTCCCTCGTGTCTCAGGAGCTCGTAATCAATTGTGAATAACATTATGAACTGTATACATATTACGTTTCAAAATGAATTGTACATCGAGAGCATTAAAGGTTTATTTCTTTGTACACAAGGTACGTATACGCATTGCAATGTAGTAAGAGATATCACTACTTCAATAAATATATAGTCTTTAGGAAGTAAACGAAGAGTGAACATTTATTTTCTGTCTACAACTAAGATTTATCGTACGACTACAGGATGAAAAGTTTCTAGATCACCCGTGACAAATGACTGGATAAAACTTGGTAATTCCTACTTCAGAACCAATGATCCCAGTTCAACTGGATATACCCTCCTAGAAAACTTTCCAAGGACTTGACAGACTAAAAGATATCCTACGACCACAAGGACTTTCAAACATTTCACCAGGCCACAAGTACAAGTATCTGTCCTCATAATGAAGTGATTTCTTTATCACTCTGGACATGTTATTAATCATGAAATTCTTTTGAATTTTAAATGGATCAGAAATTTGTGGCTTCAATCATCACATTCACCATTCACCACCCATTCACATCATTTCATTCAATTCCATTTTGTGTGGAGTACCACGAATGTTATTAGACCCGGATGGAGTGTCCAGTACTGAACTGTCTATGCTGAGTGGATCCACTTTCATGTGGTCTTCCGTAGTCAAAAACGAAGACAGTCGACGAATATATGGTACCAGGGTACCTCTTACGTTCTTCAGATTGTGTGGATCCGGTATAACTATATACATTATACCATGACGAATCAACGAAAGGTAGAAGAGTAGGGACCACTTTCCCTTGGTTGTACGAAGTGTAGTGAGGGATGGCGCCTCTTCAGAGGATAAGAGAGAGTAAGCATCGGTAAGTATGTCGAGGTCTTTTCATGGACAGTCGTTGTAGTCAGGACCATCCTGTAACTACAGCCGCGCGACTCAACTTCCGTCCGAGAATTATTTTTTTTACCGCACAATCCTAAGATGTATAATTCCCTGTCGTTTTAACGTCGCGACGACTCCTTCAAATAATTCGGTTCTCGGTCTCTTCAGGTGTCAGGTGCGGTGACAGTTGAGTGGAATGTCAGTGGACAAAAATTGATTTTTTTTCTTCCACAGTAAAATGAGGGTATCGACAGCGGCACTTGGTAAGTCTCTATATTAATAATGACACCGTCTGTTATTTAATGACTAATCCAAATATGTGGCACTGTGTAAATTTAAAGAATTCTTAACACCTATAAGTGACAGTCTCAATTTTATACTAGGATACTTGGCGAAGGTTGCGCACCAGCTCAGGTATTAAACGCAGATCTTGGTCAAGTTCAGGGTCTGATTGTGCGATAGTAATCGATTAGTGTCAGCATGGTAAACAACCTGTAATTAAATTTCTTTTTAATATATATACATACTCGCTGCAGTAATACGTTTCTATCTGCTTCTTGGTTTTTGATTCATGAGAATCGTTGAGTCATCCGTTTTAGTTTTTGCTCTGTCCCTACAGTTCCGGTACCTATATCAATATCCGGGTATTACAAAGACGTCAACTTCTTTGGTAGAAACAGAAAAAAGGATCCAAGTAAGAAAATGATTTTAGATCAATGTTTCGCTCTATTAATATGACAGTCAAGAGAAAACGAGTGTTACCGTATCGTAACGCAAATTTAGAAACGATGCTTCAGTATTAGTTTACGAAAGTAACGAAAGCAAACAATTTCCTATTATCCCTTTTTTTCTTACTAAAAATTTGACATTAATCTTCTCGTCCCGATTATTAAACGCTCGCTTCAGTCGGACAAATATATTACTAGGATTCTTTTCACGGCCTGCGTTTTTTTCTTGCTGATAGTAGAGAGAAATAAAAGTAATTGACATTACGCCTCTTCACCGACTTTTAAAGGTAAAGTCGTCTATAGCACCACGAGAACGTGACATGACTAACGTATGACTCTTACGTAAAGACATACAGTGGATTTTCTTTGTCCCAATTTTGACGTATCAGGAATCATTTGAATTAACTTAATTGTACAAAATTTTTGGAGTGTAGTAACTAAGTGGACTCCGTTACTCTTAGGTAAAGGCATACAGTGTATTTATCGTTATCACAATTTTCATATACCAGAAATTATTTGCATGATCTCCATTATTCAAAAATCTTACAGTAAAGTAACAAAGTGGGCTCCGCCTAGTACCCGGATGTATTATTTCCACGCAACATCTGAATCTAGACACATTATCTTGTCTCATCCGTATCTGGTATCTGGGTTAAAAGATCCCATAGTGCGTTCACATCGTGTGTCGAGAAAGAAATCCACAGTAATGTACGAAAAGTGTCTAAAAAAAAAGTGGAATAGCGAAACCACCATCAAGGCTGTTATTATAAAAAATTAAAAGATACGTTGGTTATCTCTCACCGGTTAACCATTAAATATTTTATTACACCCTTGATTCCATTTTATATGCGATGCCTGTTTTCGAGTATTTTGCATAAAAGCGTCAGGATGTTTGTTTATTGGAATTTTGCAAAAATTCGGCACACTTTCACTAGCCAGTTTTATCCGGTGCGATGCATCGATCTCGATATGGAATAAACCGATACATACATGTATATAATTATATATATAGCAATCGTAATACCGAACACTTAAATTATCTCCGTTGATCCGTAGAACATTTATACATGCACTTTTATTACAACTGTGTATTTTACTCCATCGCCAAAAATCCAGTTACGGGTTTCTGGTAAGCAGCATTTTTTAAAAGACTTTTTTATAAAAAAATTACTGACCTCCTTTACTTAACGGGCATGTCAGCTGCTTCGCGTAACACGACGTTTTTAATTAAGATCATTAGACAAACCGGTGTTGTTCTTATGCGACATAATTATTCTTAAACCAACCAACCGCATGTGCCAGTGACACCTTTATACTCATTTGCTTCACAGTTTTCCACATTGGGTCGCTGTGTAAGAGAACAATTATCTAAGTAAAATAGCAATTTCTCATGTGGCTATTATTATTAACAATTCGTTTGCTCTTTGAAATTCACTAATCTCTAATCCTCTTGCATCTATTGTTATCGAAGACAAATGTATCTAAAACTAGAATACAGAGATCCACGTAAACTTTCTATAGTCTAATGTACAAAAAATTTCTTATAAATAATCGTACATGATTTCGTACAAAAAATTAGCAGGGTGTTGACTCATCGATCGATCAAAACATATCTTGATCAAATATCTCTATGCACATCGTAAAATTCCACTGCTCGTCCTTGATGGGCTATGGATTGATGATTGGTCTTGAAGTATACCATTGGTATCGGCAGTGAATCAGTGAGTGGATGAGAGGCACACTTTCTCGCTGGTTAACTTTCACCATCGATGAAGTCCTGCAGCCTGTAACGTGTATTCCGTGTATAAGTTGCTTGTGCGTTACCGATCTATGAATCGTATGTAGCGTAAAACAGGAATGATCGACTTTTTGGTATGCGTTGGGACCGGATGTGATTGGTTAGAGAGATAGCCCATTATTTTTTCAATGAAAATCATAACCTTCCGGCTGAATCGATTTCTAATTAGGTGCTTAGAATAATAAACATGTATTCCGTTATAGAACCAAGGGTCTTTCTAAAAGAATTTTAATGTACTTTTTAAAGAAAGTACTTCCGAGCACATTGGAGAATTTCTTTAAATGGATTTCTCGTGTATCCCTTTGTTCAAGGTGCACTTCCTTTCTTACTCGACGCACTTTCCCCGTCAGGATTGGATCTGTTGCTTGTTCCCTTGTTGCAAAACGAAGCCGGATGAATTCTGCGAAAATTGGAAAGTTGCTTTTTGGCATAAGGTTACTGATATTACGTGACTGTTCCATGAAATGGCGCAAGTCCGCGCGATGTATCCTGGTAGTTGATTGAGATGAGATGTTTGGGGAATCTCGAGACTGTCCAGAAACTTCCGATCATTATTAAAACATATAAAACGTAGATTAACATAAAACTTGTTGCCCCGTTATGCTAATTCGAATTTATGTATTTAATAATGCTAATATTTTTCAGGATTCTATGTAATATGGAATATTCTGACAGGAACTTTGTCTTATACAGAGGAAGTACTGAACTACTACAATCATCGTGAGTAATAGTACCATCAAATTCATCATCAATGATGATGATCTGACTTTAGATAATTTTTGAAAGTCTTATTAAATTTCTATTTGATTTTATCATGCACAGCAATTAACTATAGGTCACAGCCATCGTCATACGGTCCACCGGTTAGAAGATGGACCGAGGTCCGGGATGGTGGACCAAGAAGAGGATTGATATATCGAAGAGACACGCAGGATCATCTTCCTCATCATTACGTCAAGATCAGTGAAAATGTAGAGCAAATCGATCCACTGATAACCATCACGGAGACACTGGGGGCTTTAAATACGGTCGGCAGTTACATAGTGAATATGACACGCGGTGTTGAAAATTCGGACAATCCACCAAAGGAACTGCCATCGGCTCTGTATACAATATCCAAAAACATTTTGGGCAGGAATGTTACCGACAGCATAGCGCCACTGGTGCGAGGTGTTGCATTACCTCTGAGACCAGTCAGTTCAACCGGAATATCCGGTGAGCAATCTGCTGAAGGAATTTATGAAAAAGACAAGGAGTCGTCCTCGGCACCATCAGCCTGCACTACTGCAGACGGTGGACCTGGAAAATGTCAAGACCTCAGTAACTGTCCTCAATTATTGTTAGACCTCACAAAGCTGAGGCAGTCTCTATGCTTCAAAAGTTTATTCGTACCAGGAGTATGCTGTCCACTGGATAAAATCATAGGTGATGCAGGATCCAACGGGGAAAGGTATGTGATGAAAGCACCCGAATTTGAAAGCACCTTGTGAAAGTAAAAGAAAATGTTAGTGAGATTTTGAAATTCGTATTACAAACTCTAGTTCATCCGGCGTAATTTCACCTGGGTCAGAATCCGGCGTGCGTCCACAACGACCTCCTCATCGGCCAACCAGACCGTCGACTCCTCGACCAATTCCTCTGCTGCCAATAACAACGACAACCGTTAGACCAGTTGGGGAAGTCGTTACCGTACCAGACTCGTCGAGCAACTCCAGTGGTTTTGAGACTATTGATACCATTGATAATAATTTCATACAGGATGACGAGGGTAAGTGTACCAGGACCAACTCATCTGCAAGCATTAATAAATATTATAGATCATAAGAAGAACTCTGAGGTCATCTAGAAATTCTTCTTCTCAGAGTGCGGAGTGCGAAACTCTGGAAAGTACCGTGTTGTGGGCGGCGAGGAGGCTTTACCAGGTCGCTGGCCATGGATGGCAGCTATATTTCTCCATGGGGCACGTAGAACGGAATTTTGGTGCGGAGGTTCTCTGATTGGTCCGAGACACATTCTCACAGCAGCCCATTGTACCAGGGATCAACGTCAGCGACCGTGAGTATTCGTTCTGACCTCCTGACACTTTAATACAACAGATACACGGTGTGCATAGCGTGGAGATGTATAAAAATTATACACTGGTATGTCGGTCACGTTACCTTTCATTTTGCAGGTTTGCCGCACGACAGTTTACAGTTCGCCTGGGAGACATTGATCTTGAACGGGATGACGAACCGTCCTCTCCCGAAACTTATGCTGTGAAGGAGATACGGGCGCATCCGAAATTCTCCCGTGTTGGATTTTACAATGACATTGCGATACTTGAATTAAATAGGCCTGTGAGGAAGACTCCCTATGTCATACCAATATGTCTACCTCAGGCTCGTTTTCGTGGAGAACCATTTGCTGGTGCAAGACCAACGGTTGTCGGCTGGGGCACAACGTATTATGGTAGTTAAATATTAATGCTTAGATATTGAGTGTACTTATGAGACCCAGTCGAGTATCAATAATTGAAATATTTATAATTTCAACAGGCGGCAAAGAAAGTACAGTTCAACGACAGGCCGTTTTACCCGTATGGAGGAATGAAGATTGCAATGCGGCTTATTTTCAACCTATTACTAGCAATTTCCTCTGCGCTGGTTATAGCCAGGGTGGCAAGGATGCCTGTCAGGGCGATTCTGGTGGACCATTAATGCTACGTGCTGAAGGCCATTGGATGCAGATTGGTATTGTGTCCTTCGGTAATAAATGCGGGGAGCCTGGGTACCCTGGTGTATATACTCGTCTTACGGAATATACAGACTGGATTAAGAATAATATTAACTGAGGAATGATGATCGCTTTCATTTATTTTGTTACCAATTTAACCATTTGCGTTTATGTATCATATTCCTCTTTAAGGCCTGTTACTTGTATTGAGGACGAAACGTTAAATTGTCACTCTTTTTTTCTTCGTGGTGTGCCAAGAGATAATATTATTTATCGCCTTAACCGCGTGATTGATGACTTTTGAAAAATCACCTGTTAACACATCAATTTTAACATATGTAATGACTTATTCCAAGACTCTGTGAGAAACGATACTTCATCGTTTACATTTCTGAACGTTGATCAGATATTATTTTCCGAACCATTAGTGTTGTGCCAATGATCATTTACATTTGTAGTGATGTAGGAGTGTAGAATTTTCTAAAAAAAAGTGTCAAAAGCTTTTTTTTTTTTAATACGACTGTATATATAAATTTACTTTATATTATTACTGAGTATATAATGTTACGTATATTCATCGAATAAATAAATTATTTAACTAATTATTATAGCGTAAAGATATGTACATACGAACTTATTGCGAATGCAGATACGTAAGAATAAATATATCAAATTATTACACCTTGCAATAATTAATTATGTTTTGTGCCACGAACAAATATCCATGGCACACTTAATTATCTTATGCCGGCTCCTCCTTTTTTTTTATAATTGAATAGTTGCCAGCAGTTAAATTTCACACAGATAAATTCATACGGGTAGTTACGTCAATCGAGTAAAATGCTATGATAAAGATAAAAAAATATACGCTTTACAGATTCACATGAGAATTTTGATTGTCTAAGTCAATAAAAATTTACCAGTACTAAGTGGATAACAAAAGGATTCGATATTGAAAAATTAAGAACGGACGGAGATAGAAGATAGAAAAATGAGAATTCAAATCTTTGGATGACTGTCAGAAAAAGTAAATCATATTTTTTTTTAGATTCCATACAAGTTTTATAGTTAATTAAAATCTTGTTTACTTTAAGAACAAGAGGAACAACAATGTCTACGAGATTAAAAATACGGTGCGTCTCGGAGCAAGATTTCGGAAGTACAGTGAAGCAGATGATAGACGGAGCTCTTGAAGACACAGGTTAGATATTTAAGTATTATAGAAATTATAAATACTGTTAAAACTAAGGCTCACACTCATTTTCGTTGTTTGTTTGTTAATTCAATTCGTTTTCGTATTTTTGCTATTTTAACTCCAAACTCTTCTCATTTTTATCACAATACATCAACCTTTGACGACTCATAATCATCGAAATCAAGGTAAGCAGCTTATAATTATTATATTTGGTGAAGGAACTCCTTAATTTCGTTAAAGCACAATAAATGCTAGAGTCTCTTGGGTTTTACAATTATTTATTTCAACAGGGTAACTTAATAGTATATTACGGTTCTGTAAAGGCACCAGACTAGGTAAATCGGCCTTCATTCTGGTTCGGGCGTAATAATACTCAATAATTATTTTGTTCAGAGCAACTGACAAAATTAGAACGGGCGATTTATGAAGAATGGTACTTTAAAAAAATGGATGAGATCAGAGAGACAAAAAATCAAGTTGAACAGTATAAAAAGGAATTGAAGAATGATTCACCAGATTGTGTAGCATGCCATGAGAATCAATCAAACACAAATTCAAGTGTACATTGGAAACCTTCAGTAATTGATAATGAAGTTCATGAGCTTGAAGAATTAAATACACAAAAGTGTATTAGTAAAAATTTAAATGATTTTCCAACATCTAATCAAGCTGAACAGTTGTCTGAACTTAGTCACGACGAGTATCTGAGAGATATTCAAAAAGAAGAAGACAGTGAAGTATGTTAAATCGAAATATACGTTTTTCAAGAAATTTGATATACTATATATTTGGTATACTTATATTTTGATTCCTTCTAGGCCATAGCCGCCCCCGTCGTACATACTATACGTAGGATTAAACCAAATAAAAGAATAACTAAAATCGTGCGACTTTCTAATACTTCTGATACCGATGTTCATGACAATGTTTCTGAAAATTATTTGGTACTACGATTGAAGGATTGCGTTAGAACTTCGACAAATCTGACTGCGTCCCATTCGACTGTAAGAACCTTAAACGAGCCTCTTGTAGAAATTAATGAAGAAAAAAAAAAAGAATTGGCAACCTCCGAAAATTCACAAATTCAGGAAAGCCCTGAACTAATTGAAGTGTGGAGGGGTCAAATGAACGTGAAAAATGAGACTGCAAACGATCAAAAACTCAAGACTGATAAATCGAAGTAAGTGCTGTAAAAAGATAAATTTGAATATTTTTACTGCAATTATATATTTTAGAAAAAAGAGAACTAATCGTACAGCTGTGGGAGAGGCAGCTTTTGAAATATGGAAAAGAGCGAAAAATGCAAGATACAGTCGAATATTCAAAGAGGAACAAAAAATGAAGCAGTTAGAAAGAGTAGAAAAATTAAACGAAGAGGAGAGAAAGAGAAATGCATACGAGACATGCAGACGTGTGAGGAAGCAACGGGATGAGCAACGTAAATTAAATTCTCTGAAAAAGAGAGTAATGCAAGAAGTGAAAGAAGCAGCACAAAGGGAACTCCATGCAAAAGAAATTGCCAATGCTCAGGCTTTCAAATCATGGAAGCGACAAAAGGATGATGAATCAAAAAAAAGGCGAATGATGTAAGTATAAACTTCATATTGAGATATAGATATTAGTGTAAATGAAAATTGCTAATTCCAATTATGTGATCAGGACATACAACCAACAATATTATCAACAACAGACACAGATGACAAGGCAAATTCAAGGATTTGATACATTCAATTTATGGTTAAATCAACTAGATTGTGTTTTGCATCAAAAATATTTACGGGAAAGACGTCATCTTGTTCGTTCATTTTATTGTCAACCTGTCTATTATGGTTCTACAGCAATTTCCACATAATATTTGTGATTCGTGGGATTAATACTGGATAGTAAGTCCAAGTATAGACCATTTTTATTCTTGAACAACAAGAAATATATTGTACAAACATTATTTTTATAACATAATGCAATATAATACTAAAGGCTGTTGGAGTGTACTTTGGAATTAAGATGCAAATCATCTTTGTGTTGTTCATTCTTTTCAATTTAAAATTAACAACATTGTCCAGAAGACATTGTTCGAAATATATATAGTTTGGTTGTAGGCAGTAAACTGTTATAAAGTAAAAGAGACTCGTAAAATCGCTAGAAAATAAATGACTAGTCACTGGCTGTATATAAACTCTGGCTAAAGTATAGAGATTCAATTTGTGGATTTCTCTTAATAGTAGTACTGATATACTATGATATGAACTTTAGGTAACACAAGCGCGGTTTCAATGCGTTTTTCCTTAACTGTACATACATTGCTCCAGTAAGCATAGATAGTCTAATATTCGGAATTGTCCTTCTCAGTTTCTTTTAAATTATTCAAAGCTTTCTGAACAAGAGCATCTAAATTTTTGGGCAATGTCAATTGCGCCACTTCATTGTTACTTTCAGCACAATTTTCTGTAACAGCATTACTTACCGTACGTGTGTTATTCCCTTTATCATCAGTAGATTCCAATTGAGATTGGGATGTATTAACACACTCATCAAAGTCTTCATGACCTAGAAGTTACGTTTCACAAATAATCTTTTACAATATTTATTTGTAATGGAAAAGAAATATACCTATTATATCCACATCTGAACCAGCATATCCTTCCAATAGTTTCATTGTAGGAGATTGTACTGCATTGTCCAGCTCGCATATTCTCAATGCTAGTATTCTATTAAATGAAAATTTTAAACATACAATATTTTTAACTATTTTTAAGTAGTAGATAAATCGAACACTGAAGAAGGTGATGTACTAACTTGTTAGCTTTTTTTTGATGCACTAAAGCAAGTGTTTTATCATTCAATGCTTCTAGTAAAGCAGCACACAAGCAGCGTAAGTCAGACATTGCAGCAGCAGATCGTTGAGGTGGAATTTGTGAACCTTGATGCAGCAGTTGCTCAACTAATGATTTTAATTATTTATTTATTAATCGCATTTTTGGAAGAAAGTGCACATTCTTGCAATAGTCATAACAAACCTTGTTTATGAGTCATTACTGTTCCCGCAGCTGAATTTCCACCTAACTTGATAGTACCCTTTATCCTTTTACTATCCAGCATGCTCTATAAATGTTATTTTACCATCACCAGTCCAGTTACACTGTTATTTTTATACTTTTCTCACTATTATTCCATAAAACTAATGGTTACTAGAAACTATACTGTACATAATATCAAGAGAGCTGTTACCTTATACTTTGAAAGGGATTGTCGAGCAAGCTCTTTTTCTTCAAGTAATTGTTGGAGTCTCTCCTGCAAATATCTAAAAATCATAAAATAATAATGTTATGAAACGATTTTTAATTTTTCTATCCTGCCATAATATACCTATTTTCATTGATAAGAGCATCTAGATCCACTGGTTTCGAAGCACTCAGAGCTTTGGATAATTCATGATTCAGCCTATGCGCCTTGCATTTGAATGCATCACGTTCTATTTCTAGTTCATGTTTTTCATCCAAGAGAGTCTGAAGATCTGTTTGCAACTGGGCACACTAAAGAAAAATAAAGATGATTAGACTAAGACCTCTATATTATGCATTATCTGATAATAATATTGTAAATCCATTCGACCTTAATGTTCAATTTTTCTAGCTGTTCTATCATCTCTTCTCTTTGATGTGCTGCAGGTACATTCTGTACTTCTTGCTGATCTCCAGATGTACGATTGCTTGTTCTAAGCACTTTAATATCTCCTTGTGCATCACCTAGCTTTTGCCTCAAGGTTTCAACTTGCAATCTTAGGCATTTATTCTGTTCTCTAGTTTCAATTAACAGATCCTGTGTTCTGAAGTTCTCATCTAAATTGTACAATCTATAAACAATTTACAAATACATAAAAATGTATGCTTTCTAACGTTAGAATATTTATGTATGATGTACTTAATTCTTATACATTGGAAAAACAATAGCAAAACATACTATGATCATCCCTTTCTGTTTTTAGTGATAAATTAAGCTTACCCATTTAATTCTCTTGCCTCTGATGTTTGTTGCCTCAAATGTAAAAAGCGCTCTTGAATTTGTTCAGCCATTAACTTAAATTGATCACGTTGTACCCGACATTGATCTAATTCTTGACTTAAGACAATAAGAGCGTCGGTTTTTAATTGCAACTTTCGTGTTAAAGCAGCATTCTATAAACAATATTAATGTAAGTATCTCAACAATTTATAAGTTAAATATTACCTACCTCTGAACTACTGTTACTTGAAAATCCATTCTGCTCCTTAAAATTCATAGATCTTTGTCTTCCTCCAGATGAGTTTGCCATTGATATAATTATAAGATATATAAAATTCTTTACAATATACAAATAATTGAGAAGCCAATCTTAAATTTGACAATTCTGACAGAACAGCAATTCTCTATATCCGAACATAGAAAATCACCATCAAAGTAGAACATATATAAATAATTCAAAGTAATATTTGCTCAATGTCCCTTTACGAAAATCTTCATAAATAATATTGGATCTCAATAAGATTGCGATAAAAAAAATTTTGCAAGGAAAATTATTTAACCAGAGCTAAAACAGGTGTGAAGTCGGCCGACTAATAATGACTTTAAATGTTTGCTCCCATTATTGTTTGTTCGTTGTTTGTTGATCATTGTTGAAACGACAGACTTTCCGTAACATTTTTAAATCACTGCGCTTGCTCCAGATGGTAACCAATCAAAGGTGGACACAGTTGGTGACGCGTCGACGCCGAAATAAAACTTGGACGATGAAAATCGGCTCATTGGTAATTTCCCTAGTCATCTCTCATTTAACACTTCTAAGAATATAAAACACTGATAAACGATCATTATAATCATATAGCCTGTCTTCACTTCTTAGTGTATAACGATAATTTTAATTTAGAATAAAATGAGTACCTATGACTACGTTTACACGGCGGTCTTAAACTGATTCAGTTAATACTGATCTGAAAGAAATGACCAATCCCAAACAGTCGTTACAAGTAGAAATGTCTATGATGTTTCTATTCGTTTAGAGCAGGGGGTCGATTGGGTACGTCAAATGTGAAACTATGAAAAGCGAATAGCTGTTAGCCAATCGCGTATTAGTTTCAAAAGAAGATAAGCACAACGATTGGCTAACAGCTATGATTAACTAAAACGGTTTAAGCCACTGTGTTTCATTAGTATGTTCATGTTCAAGGGGTGCCAGAGTACAAATGGCGGGAATTAGATACACTGTTATTCTTGGATTTCTTTGAAGAAAAGCAACTAATTTACAATAGTATCTATTTCATCATTAATGAAAGACTGCTTACCATAATGACTGTATACAGCCTGAATACTCATTGATTACTGTCAGCTGGCCAATAATGGCTTATACGAGTGTCTATGGAATATATTAGATACAATTATCTGTTGTGTGGTTGTTTACAATTCATACTAACCTTTACGTAATTATTTAAGTATTATTTTTAATATTCAATATGGGAAAAATTGTGCAAATTACGTGGCCTACTGAATACATAGAACTTAAGGTATGTATCGTAACGTAGTGTTTTGTATCTTTATCTAATATTTATGGTTGCAGAGGCAATAATGGATTTCTATTTGCTTTGTTTTTGTTTTATAGAGAATCGAGGATTTATTACAGTGTGGAATTTGTTACGAATATATAGAAACATCAGTTATGACACCATGCTCTCATAATTGTAAATTTTTTAAATTATCTTGTCTATGATTATTAAGATATATTGTAGCAATAATTATATATGTGTTTTCAGATTGCTCTCTGTGCATTAGAAAGTATTTACATTATAAAACACAATGTCCTACTTGTTGTGAGCAAACTTATGAAAAGGACTTACATACAAATAGGATATTAGATGAAGTCATAAGTAATTTTTTGATAATTAGAGAAAACTTAGCTAGGTGTGTTCCTGGAGCTATCGTGCAGAGCATACCAAATTTGATCACTAGTTCTCCACCAATAAGACCAGCACGTAGCAATCATTCTGTTAGGACTCCAAAAAAATTGCATACAGATGATGGTACTGTGCATGAAAACTTTACTCCCAATTCAAACAGCAAAACTCCATCTATGAGTACTCCAAAAAAAAGTATTACCAGTCCTGGCACAAGTGGAATGTCCAAAATAGCTTCATACTTTACACCTAAGAGTAGAAAGACTGTGCAACCGGTGGACATGGTGGACATTAGAAAGGAATCTTCTTGTCCTGTTTGTAAAGTTGAAGTTTCTTCACAACATATAAATAAACATCTTGATGCTTGTTTGAAAAGAGATGCCATGACTGATGAATCGAGAGTCAGGTAAAATTTGTACTTGAATTTTATTAGAAATTGCATTATTTAAGGGATATGTTGCTAATTTATTTCAGTATTAAACAAAAACGCAAACCTTTACCAAAATTGGTGTTTAATGTCATGAAGGACGTAGAACTGAGAAAAAAGATGAGGGAATATGGTCTGCCAAGCCAGGGTGATAGAAAAACTTTAGAGACGCGATTTCAAAGATACTCCACTCTTTACAATGCAGAATGCGATAAGGAAGTACCTAGATCAGTTGTAGAATTGATCAAACAATGCACAGAAGAAGAAGCTCTTGAGAAAAAGATGCAAAAGGCAGCTCTTACCGGAAATGTAAATATTACTAATTATAATGCTTACTATCAATAATTAATTTTGATTCATATTTTCAAATTTAAAAATTTGGTTCGTATTCAAATGTATCTTTGCTCACCTGTGTGCATTTTCAGAGGTTACAAGTCTCTAGGAAGGCTGACGAACAGAGCAATGAGGAAGCCAGAAAAAAATATTGTACGTTCTATCAGTAATCTGTGATTATTGTATTTAATAATGTGCTAATATTTTTCTTACAGTGGACGCCAATAAGACCAATTTTCAAGAGCTAATCCAGAATATTAAAGATCGACGAAATCCAAAGAAACCTGTAAGAAGATCCATTTTACCTCCAAGTGAGAAACAAGACTCTGTTGTAACGTCCATAAAAAAGGATCCTACTGAGGACGATAGTTCCAATGCCGCCAATGAAAGTGAAGAAAGCAATCTTCATTACCATTTGAATCATGAAGAATTTGCCTTCCAAGACAATGATTCGAACACTTCATGTCCATTACAGTGGTACACCGGTGATGATCCTATGAGATTCGTTATGACCGAATTAAATTCTGATGCCTCGCCAGATAAAAGCAGTTCCTGTTCAAAGTTTCAATTGAATCAATTGAATTCATCACCGGCTGATGAACAGCATTCGCCTAAAGTAAAGACAGAAGGATTCGCGGATGAGGATGATTCAATTGTAAATGGAAATATTCGTAATACAAATACAAGTATTTCACAGAATACGACGAATGAAATATATGTAGCAAATCCCAAAAGTGGTTCGTCTTCACATTCGCCGGAAGTGGTTACAACGCGTGATAATATCAAGAGCGGGAAAAGAATTACAAATAAGCGTGTGAAATTGTGCTCCAATGATCGTGTAAAATCATCAAGTACAAACTCTGTTAATACAATTTTAAAAAACAGGTCAATTTTAGAACAAGAGCAGCGAAAAATGGAAAGCATGAACTTGGCAATGAGTATTGCCCAGGACTTCTTATCTGACCTGTCGACTAGCGATAGTACTGATGATGGTGCGTAATGACATTATTTAGAACTTTTAGAAATCTTTAATTTCGAAAAGTTCTGTTTACTGCATGCAAAAATGTTATTTTACTATAAGTACAATATCTTTATTGTGATTATTAGGTAAGCTGTTCTTTATTTTCACGTCTGTTTTTTTTTCGTTAATATAATAAAGTCTATTCGTTTATAACAGTGACTCTCATGTACCATGTATAGTAGGATGGTATGGATTTTTCGATTTCTTCTAACAATGGAATATTTTGCTTTTACAGAGTCCATAAATTTGAAAACAAGACGGAAGTCGAAGGAACGTGCAAGTAGCAGTACCTTGCAAGTTCCTTCAAAATCGGGCAAAGAGAATTCTAAATCTTCTACTGACGAAAATTGCGTTGTTCGTCGACCGACTAGAAAAAGAAATCGCATTTCCGGTTTAGAGAACGGAGACACTGTAAATTCTACAAGAATCGGTGTAAAATCGAAGAAAGTTCTCGATGAACAGAATATAAATCAAACTAAGGAAGTGCTTGAGGATGATTCAGAGATTGTTATAGATAAGAATAAATCGAAATCTAAAAAGGTCACTCAAAAACGAGCGATATCTACCATGAATAAATCTGAAAATCCACCAAAGAGACCAACGCGCAAATGCACCAATAAAACATGAAGTTCTTAATGACTCATTTAATATATTGTAAAAATAAATATACGATATTAAGTGAACGTAGTTCGCGAACAGAAATTAGGTAATCAAGTAGCCATCCAATGCTATATTTATCACTATGATGAAATTGTAAAAATAAAAATAAATATGCACATTGATTGAGAAAAAAACTACAAATATAATAAAGGAGCTAACTTTTTTAATATAATGCTCACACGCTGCTATTAGTAATCATAATAGGATACCTTTTCAATATGGAAATACAAACATACGAGATCAATTTATCAAAGACATTTAATTTTATTGAATACATTACAACATTGCAGTCACACAGGGAATCAACAATGACAAAATTGTCAATGACGCAGTCATTAGCGTCTTTCTCATAAATTAGGGGTTTTCAAGTTTTATAACAGGCATTAATAATAATTTAATAGTCTTAATGGAACATTAAAATAATTGTCTTTGATATAACTTACATATTACTTTGGTATCATTTATCTAGGTCAAAGTTTGTGTGTTTTCCGTATATATATATAATATATATTTATGTTAGAACTAACGTTCATTAAAGGTCTGAAAGTACTAACATCCTAAAAGAGCTAACTATCACATTCATTAATCATTATTCCTCAAGATAATTCTTATTTAGGCTAATTTTATTTTGATTTGATTTTGAGTTGTCGCTCGCGATTGTTACTGTTTCGCAGAATACCGTGCTAATTCCACCACGCATGTGCAAACGTATCAATGAATTCCTTTAATATCTATCCTGCGATATTGTACTTTGTATACTTGCCATTGTACAACGTCGACATGGATATATGGCCAGAATCCAATAATGTTACTATAAAAAATTCAGTAATTACAGAACGTTATGGAGGTCAAAACGTGCGATGAAAATGTTCTACTTTCAATTTCACCTATAACTACATTATGAATTTCAATATCTTGCCTATTTACGCAAAAAGATAATATACAGGATATAACATTTAAATACGATGGACATTATTTATTAAAGGCGGATTTCCAATCTACCCGACTTTCCGGTCGTCAAGCGACACCATTGAAAGCAGTGCTGATTATGTTCACCATAAACTCAGCGATATGTTCAATTAATTCAGATCTTATTACGCGCCCTATGATTCATTGATAAATAAGATACAAAAACAATAAGCGCGCGATTGTTCGTATATTTATAAAAAAAAGGTTCGTCGTGCGGTTAGATTTCACTTTAGACTTACATACATCGTTACGTGCTGGGAACAAATTTTATCGTAGGTCTTTGTATTATATACAATTTTTTTTGATTGACTATTTGATTATTGAGTTCGTCCCTATACGCCTTATACAATGGAGTATTATTATTGTACATCTTGATCGAAGAGTCAGAATAGGATTGACAGTAAGAAAACGGCACAGAATCGATAGTAAATAAATCATTTGAGTAAAACGCATTGATTATTCAATTACTGTCTCATGTAGCGATACCAACATTTGACACGGTGCTACACGCGGCAGTGTACATAGTTATAATCGATTAATTCAATTTTTATTACTTCATTATATCGATCGTCGTCTAAATGCATTTAGATGATGGAACCAATATAATTATCACGACGGAGTGGTCATTAATTTCTCTTCACTATAAAAATTTCTAATGAATTCCCGTTAAAGTCGTAGATCGAATGTACAAGCTCTGCCGTATGAAAGAAATGATTAAATGTCGACTAGATAGCAGTTGGCAAAATAATCACCAGAGCGCAGTCCTCATATAGAATATACATTAAAAATTGGCATATTCCTTGTATCTTAATACAGCAGACATTTTATTATTATCATTAACTTCGTTAATCCCGTTGACATCACGTTGCATTCTCGCACTTGTTTCGCCGCATGACCGTGATCCCAATGGAGCCCCGTATTTTGCGTAATAAGTCTATTATCTCGGAAGTTGACATGTGCTCGACGCTCTCGTCGTTTACCTGGTGAAACAAAAGAGAACATGACGGTCACAGGTGCCAGCTAATTGCAGCCCTCACTGCAGCAGCTGCAAATGTATCATCAGGACAAACAGTACAGTATACTGGTTGCCCTCGATTCACTTGTATATTATTTAAAAATATTTAATTCAGATAAATTAACGCACCATGATTAACACGTCACCCTGTTTCAGTCTTCCATCCTTGGCTGCTACACTATCAGCATGGACTACCGATATCACTGTACGATTTCCTTCGGGTTGCAAACTGAATCCCAAACGGCTGTTCCATCCACGTGTCAATTCGACCATGAACACCTTTGACAGACGAGGACAATGGTCAGGATACAATTTGGAACGCAGAGATACTCGAACTCGTGATAAATGGTCTCTCTGATGACCCGACAGGACTGGAAGTTCTGAACTGAAGTAGAATCGACATACCTGATTCTCTTGTTCGTGTGCACTACTAGTCGTGGATGGTTCCTCGGTACTCTTGTCAGCCTCATCCTCATACTTTACATCCTCTCCGACGCTGTCACTCGGCGTGAACATTACTCCCTTCCACTTGAGCAGACCTTTACTACCGGCCGGATCTTCAGTACCCAAAACTTTGCCTAAATAGTGTAGAGCAACTGACGTTAGGCTGGCACCGTGACAATATTACTGATATATGGATAAGAACGTTATCGGCGTGAAGTCTAGTAGTATGGCAGTCATATAACGTATTTTTTTAGATAAGAGCTAAGCATATCGTCAGGATCATTCTATATCTCTGATATATACATTATCCGATAGCCTTGGTATTAAGGTAATCGTAATCGGCTGAATAGAAAATTTAATGTCACTCAATGCGAACGTTCAAAGTTTAATAGAATCAGGTAAATAAGTAATTCAAGCACTACGATCAATTGCACGTTACATATAATCTGTAACGTAGTAGCACAGGCATCGATCGAGCCTCTAAACGAGTTGGAATGTCCAGATTGCTCCCTCTGGGTAAATCAAGCGGAACACTTCTGCAATTGAGCATCCCTCATGCCGTTTTCCATCTTACTACGACGTAATTAGATTTCAGATTCAATGGGCATACATTAAAATGTACGAATAAGTGGGTAGAGATCTTAGCCAGTGTAACTTCCGTTAGAACGATCTGACAAACCTGGAATATCCTGATCGCTAGAGTGAGCAGCCTTGTTCTTGGCACTGTTCTCATTGCTACCACAAGCAGGATTGGCACTTTGATAGGCAGGATTCTTGTAGCTGAAGGCGGTGCTGGTGCTGCTGGTGGACGAGAGTACGGGTGGCATGGAGGCTGGTTCCGAGGGTAAATTAGTATCCTGCTCGTCACTGGACAAAGCCGGCACGTCCCTGGTCAAGTCATCGTAGTCGCATTCGGTTGCTAAATTGGAATCGGTCTCGGTAACGACCACTGGTCCAGTGTACTCCGAGTCGGAGTCGAGGCTGAATTGGAAGTGCGGTTTACCCTGGGCCGCGGATAGGTCCAAGAACTTTGGTCTTGGAGGTTTCGACTCGCCAGAGTCGCAGACATCGTAAAGAGGCGGAGGATCAATTATATCCGTAACAGGAGTATTCGGCTGAGAATTCGTTATTTGAGTCTTTATCGAGCATTGGTCAGAGTCCGAGGTGTCGACCTGGGTTGTGGTGGACATCTGCGTCACGTAATACTTCTGAGGATTTCCAGCTGTGAAAAATGAACACAGTGTGATTTTCTTTATCGTTATACCGTATTAATAGACCAAAAAAAATATCAAGGTCGATACTTCTATTCGTGAATATCTCTTACAGACAGAACCTTATGTGGAATCTGTATTTATGGCACGATACCATGAATCATCGACCACGTTAGTCAGTGCAAAGCTAACGTTATATGTGTATACACATTCTGCGAGTTAACATCCGCGAATGGAATAAATAATAACAGGACGAAGGTACTGTACCTTGCTCGTTTTCAGCAGTGGGTGTCCTAGTGGCTGGTCTACGTAATCTCCTGGGAGAGCTACAAGAGGCCCCAGGCGACTGTCGACAACTCGATCCGCTTGAAGTTCCTGGCGACAGTTTGCGCACAGCCAAGTCACACAGCATGTCAACAGCTTCTTGCCTGAAAATATTTCCATGTATTTCAACCTGTCTAGGGTATATTGATATTTTGGTCAGGATCTAAGACTTTGTGTTTCCAATTGAAATTCGACAAATGACCAAAGTCAAGTAGACAGGGAACAATGTGTGCGCAATTTCTCGGAAAGTTTAGATGCAATTTTCGAGGCAATCACTTTGAAACTGAACGACCAAGTAGGTGGTCTCACGAAGGCTCACTCGCCTTGGCTTAAAATGGAGATACCACGTGGGCTAGGAAGAGAGACCCAAAGTGTCAAATGTGCCTGGTTAAATATTGTTGTGGTATCGAGACCCTAAGCACATAAAAGAAGTGACATCAATGGTAGTTTGAAACGTGGTAAAACTATTTTCACTGGTTGACACCAAACGGTTCGTTGTTTTCAGCGGAATGATAAATCAGCGCGTTATTCAGACGGGCGACAGCGAATGAAATTTGAATGAAGCAGCCGACTGTGAAGCGAACGGGCCGCTGGGCCGTGAACAGACTAGACTGCGAATTAATGAAAGGCGTCGAGGCGAGTGATGTCACATTGCAGCCCCGACGCTCTTTCGCTCCCACACTTTCAATTACTATTATTGAGAGCACTTTTGTCGAAAAATATGCTTGGACATACACGCGTAACGCCTCCTGCCCTGAAACAAGGAAGTACTGACCCAATGACTCCGTCATAAATCCTAAGAAGCACCCCGCGTGCTATCCTACCCAGCTTCCAATTAAGTATAATCGTCCAGTCAAAAATACATTAATCATACAATCAAACGGATCGATAATTGGTATTATTCGATTGCTTAATGAATCTTCATTACCTCAAACTGGTACGCGGTGGACGTAGGGGATGATCTGGTTCCGTAGGGGAGAGTGCTGAAACGGGTGTCTGAGCAAGATCACGATAAAGACGTAGTCTGACCCTTGGTCCACATTGTCTCAGCAGAGCAACAGCTTCCTCGTGACTCATGGGGGATAATGGGGCACCATCCACAGCGACAATCTTATCTCCAGGTTGAATTCTACCGTCGCTCAGGGCAGGTTCTCGGACGAGTGCTCTGACGTAATGTCCCAAAGCACTGCTGTCAGCTTTCCTCAGAGTGAATCCCAGACTGCCGGCGACCTTAGTCATCTCGATATCGAATTCCTGGAAAATTGACTCCTTGACAAGACCATTTACCTTCACCGCCCTTTGTTCGAGCACGCGTTCAATCCGCGACGGATGCGCAAGGTGTGCACGATGGCGGAACGCCAGGACGTAAATCAGGATGCGCCTTCATGACGAGAGACGACGCTTAGCGGAAGGACAAACTTGCAGGAAACTCCGGGGAATGTTTCGCGTCTCCTGCATATTGATCCTTACTAAGAAACCGGCACTGATCTTCCATTTACTTAATAGAACGCACTTGAGCTCCGCGTACAATGAACTTCAAGTACTCGAAATAATTTGCTTTTCGTGGTACGAGTATCCCAATGAATACGTTTCCGTGCTAACCTCAAAATTTGAAAAGCAACTATTCGTCGTGACGGACCGACAACTCACCCCGCAAGGTTCTATCTGCAAAGGTGGCAACGGATTGAGTATACGTAAGGGCGGAGGCGGCTCTCGACGTGCAGGCGGCGGCGGAGGTGCACCAGGAGGCGTAATCGTCGCGTCCCCGGGTGGACGGCACACCACTAGCTCCACGGTGCTGGGCGTCGTTCTTAGAACTTCCAGAGCCTCCTGCAACAAGTAGCACGAGAAGTAAGATCAGCTGCTTGGCTGTTGGCAGCATCATCGCTGTACTCTTATCGTGTACCCAAGGGTATACTCTGGCACTATAGGGCTTGGAGATAATGTCTCTTTGACCAGTCGGTACCAAGTTGCATTATGCTAATGACATGGAAATCTCCAACACCCGTGGGAGGATACGTCTTCCTTAGTATCGGAATGCACGTGTAAGCAGCGTGTACTACGGAGGACACTGAAATGGCTCGAACGTATCCCTCTGGCAGGAGTTATCTTCGACGCGTTATATAAATTTACACTGTGGGATAATTATGTGTTATTAATTCTACCACGAGCCCAAGAGAAACAATAGAAGCAACCAGTAGGAAATTACAAGGGGAAACAACATTTGTTGAAGCCACCTACCTACCGGGTAGGCATTACTTACGTAGTTGGTCAGTCCTGTCAGTGGTATCCCATTGGCAGCAAGGAGGATATCACCAGGCTGCAGTTTGTTCGAAAGTGCAGCCGGCTGCTGAGGAAACAGTCTTTTAACCCTCACAGGACCGGCCGTACCACCACCGGAGACACTTAGGCCAAGTCCTCGACTGCTTTTCTGCAGCGTCACGCGGAAGGTACTTTCTGAAATTGTAAAAATATAATTATACATCAACGAGTCAATTCTGCTCTATTTTTATTCAGATACCGTGATGGGTCTTAGCGATAGTTTTAGTGATTTACGGAAAAAGAGGCATCGCACAAAAATTAAGGGATGATATCGATGGACCGGTCATTGTCGAGGAAACTTTCGAGCGCTGCTTCCTATTGATTTCAACTACTTCAATGAGTCCTTCGAAGCGAATGAGAAAAGAGTTATTCGTGATAACTCTTCGAGTAAAATTTATCTTTTGCACTGAACCTTCAAGACGAGGCGTGCCGGGTGGAATTCGTAGGAGCTGGGGGTAGGTGTTCCCAGACAGAAAGTACAAATATTCCTAGAGGATGGTATTCCTGAGATTCTAGGAATGCTATCTCCATTTAGAAGTCGAAACGAAGAATCCTGCCGACCAGGAAGAAGGCGAGGAAGAGAGGGAGAAGATACGCCGGGGATTTAGCTAATTGATTATCGGACGTAAAAGCCGTGGAATTCCACGAGTTACGTATAAAGGACACCGCCAGCTGCATATTTGATATTACTAGGCGCGTGAAGTCAGCCGTAAATCCATTTGGGTTATAACATATTTCGCGTTACGTTCGGTTCTACTCGCGCGTGTATTTTTACTTCTCATGAATATATTTACTTCCGTATTATTTTTATGCATAAATATACGCAGGTAAAGGGTATGTATAGGAAATGTTTCAAAAAGCTAGGTAACAAAGTTATACCACGTTTTTATGATACGTAACCAACCCTTGTAGTTCGGAGGTATACTGGAAATTCAATTTTACATGTATCCAAACCATGAACAATGGGCTATATGAGTGTCGTTCATGCTCGTCAGATGTCGAGTCGGACGAACTGACGTATTTCAATGGGATTATTAAATTATTGCGCAATTAAAAAATTGTCAATGTAAAAGAAAGGGGGACTCACGTATTCCGTCATTATCGAGCTGAGATACTTTTTGAATTTCCCGCCCAACGGCGCTACTGCGACACACTGGCAATTTCATTAATTTCACGGATGTAATTGTATCGATTGTCAGTCCGGTGTAATGAGCGGCATAGTTTCGTAGTAATTAATTTTCCGACGTAACGCGTTAAACTTAACGGAAGCAGTTAAATGCCCGTGACGTAGACGAACGAGTATTCTTTACGCTTAATGAGTAGAGCAATTTGAATAATTCACGGGGCTTAAAGAGAAAAAGAGTGCGAACTGGCGGCACTAATAATTAAAAGTTCATACTGCCTCTTGGCGGGCATTCCATTGTACCGGAAGTTACCAGCTGACGCGTAAATTTGAACTCGTAAACGAGTCGAATATAATATCTGAATTCGTAATGTTTATAGAGCTTGCACCGAGTAACGTGGCAGAAGCGTGAAAAAAAAAAAATAAAATTTCAAATTAAAGTAATTTAAAGAAGCTTTCAATGTGGCCACGGCTACCGGCCTTGCTAATTCGACTAGAGCGCCAATTAATATTCGAAAGCACGGCTTCGACTCGAACTTGAGGCCCTTCTTTTTGTGACTCCTGGACTATCTATTATCTGCGCTCATATTAATTCACGTGAGTCAGCGGATTACAAGGTAGGTTATGCATAGCATAATGCAGCTTCAGCATGCACGGTGTAGCCCGTTACGGGAGCCATTACAAGATAACCCAGGTGAAGGTATATATGGCCCTGCAACATGGATTTCCATAAGGTTAACAAAGCTCTCTGGAAATTCAAGACTCAAATACCCTCCCCACGTGTGATGCTGTGACGTCAAAAGAATTTTACATAAAGTAAAACAAAAGTTACACGTTCGTCCGTGAAACAAACACTTGCTATGACTTATTTCATTATGTTATAGCTACGCGATGCCCTCAATTTGGCTTTTATAGTTATTGCAAGTGGGTTGCTGATAGTTTGAAAATTTCACGAGTCTGTTTCGAATGGCGCTGTCTGCACCAAATGCCGCATTACGAATGCACTGTAGCATTCGTAGCATACCGAATGCAGTGTGCAGCAGCAACAACAACAAAAAATGCACCGAGCATCAGTTACAGACTCTGTGAATTTGTAGCGTCACATGGGAGACCCATAGAGATGTACAAAGGTCGTCGGCCCAGGCAGTACAGCTGCGAACGTAGCTGCGGAAGGTTTTCGGGTAAAGCGAAGAAATTATTGCGAGCTACCGGTAGGTTCGATATAACTTTTAATACGGTTAAGAGGAATTCTCGTTTTCCATTGAGCAACTCGTTAACGAGTGGGTCCAATGGATTTCGAGGAAAGTGTGAACAATGCAAGTCGTCAATCGTTTCCAGGCGACGTGGCAAGTGTATGTACACAATAATAATTGTTTTCCGACATTATCGATTTTCCAGCTCCCTCAACCAATATTGGCCCGTAGTGCAATGCTCGTTGCAGATAACCACAAGGATGCATATAGTATTCGTTTCTATTTGAATCATACCGCGGCTCTTCCACAGCTTCCGTTTTCACGTTTATTGAAATTTCCTCAGCCACGATAGGTGATACCGATATAAAATACTGTAAGCTGAATCTGGCCAACAACGAGACTTTCGGTAAACACGGTTACCCAGTAATTGGTTGACCTATTTTTTTTTTTTGGAAATTCCAACAGTAAAAGTCCTAAAATGCAAATTTCTCGACGTTCAAAGAAAAAATATTAAATAGTCCACCGAGTATTTATCTTTCGTAATTTCACATTGCGAGATAATAGAACAGCGTTCGAACCCATTATTAGCAATCGATATCGTTACAAAGATACAAAAATATTGGATTACGTCAAGCGAGATATCAAACCCGAGGAAGATTGTTTGAATTTATTGTATCTTATCTCATTTCCTCTATCAGCATATCTTTTCCCTTTCCTCTTCGTGACTCAATCAGGCGAAACGGCAATTGAGAGCTATTTCACAAGAAATAACCATTGGTCTTGTCTCTCTGTGCCTTTTAATTCTTCTAACATCTATAGCGGCCATATTCTACGACGATTTCGTCACACGGGGATATGAATATTCCAAGTGAAATAATAATTATAAAATCAACATAAAGATGCCGTTGAATTCTCAAAGCTATAAATACCCTTTTTATATTCACGCTCTAGTAAGCATCTCTCTATTTAATTACAAATTGCATCAGCTCGTTAACGAAAGCTTAATAACAGGTTCAGGCAGAGTTCAAGGTTCAAGAGAACGAGGGAAAGCCAAGAATTGATTTTCGTCGTGACCAAAAGTAACATTTAAGCTACTGTGGTATCGCTCCGTTAAGTATCCAAAGTCCAGATTTGTAATAGCTCGACAATATCGAAGTGGACACCGTCGGACCGTAATTGAGACAAAGAAAAATTAAAACCAACTTCTGCTGGCTTGTACCCAATTTTTTGTCCCTTTTCCCTTCATTCATCCATCCTACATTTTTGTTCTCCGCTCCTAACCATCCAACCTTGAACGCCACCCCAGAATCTCAGCTTAATTGCTCGCTCAATTCTTTGCACTAACGATGGCATTCTGTGCCCCGTTATCGACCGATGAAGAATACGTCTCGCGAAACGTAACGGTACCTTTTAAATACTTATTCATCCATAATTCACAGAGCCAAGATCCTGAATTACGATTGCTCGCACCTTCGACAATGGCTTGACTTTATTTATATCCACGGCTTCGTATCGCACGTACCTACACGTATACGCGGTACATGAACTTTGCCCAGTCAACTTGCGGGATAAAACCTCTCGGCCTCGAGTTCGGCCAGGTTGATCGAACGTTCGCTGCAAGTATACCCAGAGCGCAGCCTTATTCTTACCTTGCGAACGTGAGAGGACGAGAACTTGAACGAACCGCGTTACGGAAGCTCTCGTCTAGTTCCGGTTAGATTCCCAGAGCCGGAAACTATTTCGATTCGTTCAAACTACACGGAGCGATTCTCTGGGGATTCGCGCGACTATCCACGTACGTGCCCGGTAACGGTCGAATCGGTTCGTACGTATAAGAGATACCCTAGGCCAAACTCCTGTATACGTGGATCGATGAAATTGTGTAATTTCTTTTTTTTTTGAAAAATCCGAAAAAATCCGATCGATTAAATAAACCAGGCAATAAAGTCCATATACTTTTTTGGTTACGGTACGAATGACTCATTGGCTCCTTGTTCAATTTCGAAATCCTGACATCTCGAAATTCACGTAGACGAGTAATCGCTCCATTAAGGGTAGTCGGGCTCCGACCCAAACTCCATTTCCAGACCCGATCCCGAACCTATCCCTTGCAGGAAGGAAGGAACCCTCCCGGCAAGGAGGAAACCATTGTTTCCGCGAACGCCAGATTTAATTTGCCATTCCAGCCCGAGCATCGTTCATCGATCAAGCATGATAATTTTAGCTCCTAATCATTCCAGGCAATTGGTTCCTCGTAGATCGTTCGTAGATCTAATTGATAATCGTGTCATGGTTAATTACTGAGACGAGAGGGAACCGCGAATGCCAAAATACGAATTACTCCATAAATTACAAGTCAGGATGAGTCGATAGGCTTAGTCATTAGCCGAAAATCAGTGATATTCAATGTTCATAAAAATGACGAATGGCCCGAATAATTTTCAAAATATTTTTTTACTTGGTCGAGCATCCGAACTCGTCAGCGCGGTACAAGAGAAATGGTATAATGCGAAAAAGGGGGTATGTTAAATAAGGGACATGTAATGTATGCCGAAGGGACTTACTAGGTGTAACCCTAATACAGAATTTCAAGCCGAGCAGCATAATTATTGTTCTCTCGCCTACGTAGCTCGGTTGAGTAAATGAAAGCCTGAGGCTTTTAAGGGATTTTCAGCAGCACTTAAACCCTCGTTCAAATCCTACCAATCTACGGCTGTTAATGAAATACGTTGAACCCTCTTTGTTTTATAGCAGTAAATATTACAGGCTCGATCGTTCATTGAATTTTTCTTTCGTACGGAGCAATGAAGAATATGTAC